AGCATCTATAAAGTTAGAATGTGAGTCAAACAGTCCCTAATTAAAGTAAAAAAAAATAAAAAAAACTAAGATCCATGGTAGCTAATCACATATCTGTTCGTGCAGATGTATTTATTTTTGTTACAGCTCTCCTTAGTCTTTTCATCTGAACTTTAAACACAAATGTATTGTAGTATTTTAAACATTTACAATAAAATACTTTGTACTAAGGTTGTCTGGTGTTATTGTTCAACCTAAAAGTGTTTTCTATAATTTCATTTTAATGATTTTGTGTTTGCATCCTCTACTTTTTATTGGGATACATAATATTTAAATATCTTAGAACTCAGGAGTTGTGAGTAAGTAGGCATTGAGGTAAAAGCTGCCCTCTGCCGGGATAAAAAAGTGAGTTTTAAAAATTTTTAAACAAATAATATGGTTGTTCGATTAAAAGAAACTTGAAAGGTTTTATATAGAGAGCTGTCGCATAATCCTGACAATTTATTAAATATCTGAACAAAATATCCAAATTCTTTACATTAACCAGAAAATCCCTTGGACAGCACATACCTCTGCCAAGCGGCACAATTTTCCCCATATTGTGACCTACACCTATTGCTAAAATAGCAGATGATCAAATTTACCAAATTAAATACCAAATTTAATTAATTGTTACTTGGTATGAGGTGCACCTTTGGTAATGAGGGCTGAGGGCGTGTCTGCAGCCTCTGGTGTTTGTTCTGCTCTCACCTTCTTCATTCACTCTTTCTTTGATCAGATTTCAGGCAAGACATGGCTCACTTTTCCTATGTTTTTTTTTGTTTGTTTTTTCTTCTACTTCTGGACTTTTTTGAGTCCAATATTGAAGCTTTTAATAGTCACTGCTGCCACCCTCTGGTTAAGGGGGGAACTGCTTGTTCCACCAAATGACGCTAAAGAAGCCTTTAAAGAAATCCTGCATCCGGATTATGATGTGGATCACCAAAATATATTGGATTTCTCCTTGGACTGAGGTGCACCTTTTGGTAAAAAAAATATTAGATTTGTTAATTACTTTAAGTTATCCTGTACAGAGACGCAAAAACTCTTTAATCTGAATGGAATGAGCTCTGATGGAAGCACAAATTATTTAGGAATAAGGTAAATGTAGAAAAGCTGTAAATGCTTTGAATGTAATATATTTAGAACACTATAATGTTGCTGGCCAAAGTCATTGTCAAGCAAACAAGGTCTATACAGCTAAATGTGTACCCAGGGCTTCAGGTTTATTCCCTAGGCTTTAAGGGGGAAAGCTGTAGAACAAGATGTACAATGCTTGAGTTTTGGTAACTACCACACTGTCTGTTTAGGACTTTATCAGAAACTAGAGGATACTTGCAGCTGTTAGATTGTTGAACTTGAGCCGCACATAATTCAGCTTCATTTAGTCATTTTCTTAAATAGTAAACTTATTGAACGAGGGCTTGAGTCAGACTTTCTCTACATGTAAATGTAAACTGGTATGACAAAAAAAAAATCATTGAATCCTTTTGAAGTTGATGTAAAATATAAAAGTTTAACACACAGAAGTGAAACTATTGAAAATTCTGAAGGTGCACAGAATAAAATGATTGCAGAAAATAAGCTTTTAGTAAATTGTCATTAAAGCTTAATGTCTGCTTCATTGTGTGTTTGAAGTTGTTCATAGAAAGGAAAATGGTCTAACTAATGTTTGTTTTTTTGGCTTTCAAACTGGATTACATAGCATTACAAAAATTATAGTTTACTCTTCAAACCTAGGTTTCCCTACAGTAAAGAAAGCAGTACATGAGAACATATTGGATGGTACGACTTTGACAAAAGAAAAATTAAAAACAAGGTCACTGAAATTACTTAAATATAACAAAATTAATATGTAAAATATATATGAAAATTACCAAAGTGAAAGTCAGACATTCCTTTCAATATAAGTTATTTAACCCCCCCCCCCAAAAAAAAAATCATGTTTATTTTTGCTGTTATCCCTAGAAAAGTCTGAAAATATTGTTTCCACTAATTAGCAGCACAGGTGTCTACAATATTGTAATCAGTCAGGTACAGACAGTCACTGTGAGGTTTAGTAACATTGTATGTACCACAGTAAACATGGTACAGAGGTAGCAAAGTGTTGTCTTAGGAGATCAGAAAGAAAATTATTGACAAGCATGTAAAAAAAGTGAGAAATTAAAAACCACCTCTATGCAGCTTGATGATTGTGACTACAGTTGCACATAATATTCAGATATGTATGATCCATAGGAATTTAGCCAAGCTCTCTGGATTTGTCCGCAGGAGGAAAATTGATGAAATCATAAAAGAAAAGGTAACAAAAGGGCCCAGAACTTCAAGCTTAAGGAACATCAGTGTGTGACAGCACCATGGAGAGCACCATTGTTGAAAACGAGTCCAAAAACTGAACTGATCATCACTGGTGATGTGCACACATCACTGGAATCTTTTTAATTTAACTGTTCTGTTACTGGTTCAAATCTTTATCCAACTGTAATGATTTATTTTTCAAATCAATGCATTCTGTTTGAATTTAAAATGGATTAATTCAAACAGAACATTTAGAGCCTCATTATTTGGTGAAATGTAATGTAGCAGGTTTTAACTCAGTGATATCCTCTTTTGTTGTCATCAACAAGCTTTAGTCAGGATTATGATTTGATATTTGACTACTTCATTTTTCAGAATTATTGTGCAACAATCTTAGCAGCATGCAGTTAATAAAGCCAGGCTAACAATAATAGTAATACATTGAAAAACGAAGTCTAAGAATCCAACTTGGTCCTTATACCTCTGTCTAATAATACCTTTTTTAGTTTGCCACAAACAAAATGACAGCTGGTGTTTTTGTGTTTGACAGTAGCTATGATGCAACCTATCTTCCCATTTTGCCTGTTTGCTTTTTTGTAAAACAGAGGAGTGCTCAGTTCATTTATTTCTCATCCCTGCAGTCAGTGGGTGGCAGCACAAGACTGTTTCAAATTCCCAACAATTAGGCAGCCTTGTTTCTTAGATCAAATTAGGACACTAATCAACATAACACGCTTTAGTTGAATAAAAGTGAGCAAAGCCTGTAGAAGCACTGCGAAATCTCCATAGAATAGAGACATTTTGTTAAGGTGGACGTATTTGAGGTTCAGTAACTGAACAAACTTCTTTGGTGAGGACACAGCGAGTAAAAAAAAAAGGCCCTGCACCCTGCCGTGTAACTAATACTGTGCATCTGTAGCATATAAACATGCTCAGCATTACTTCTTTGAGGGCAGCTGTTGCCTTGGCAGCCAGCAAAAGTGATGCTCCTTTCCTCAGTGATGTTCAGAGGGGTCCTGTATGGGTCAGCTCTATTGGATTGAAGGCACAGATTGTCTTGGACATAATCCCAAACCTTTACAAACCTGCTTATAAATGGATTAAGGAGAGGAAATAAAATCATGGCTGCTGTTCAGGGAGTGCTACTTTATAAATATATACATTCATAACGGATCAACAGTATGCTTTAAGACATCCTCATTTGTAGGATTTAGTGTTCAGACTTTTTGTTGGACTCTGAAGCACAGTAACAGGATCATGTTGTGATTTCACAAGGAAGCTGGGAACCTGGGGGGGTTTACAGACACCAGCAAAGGTTTGAGTTGTTTATGGCTGGGAGAATAATGGGGCTAGTTTTTCTCGGAGCCACATTGATTCATTCATATGATTTAGTTATCTATCTTCAAAGAAATATGATTTATCTAACAGGCACATTTATTTTCATGGCTGTTAATTTAACATTATATTAATCTTATTTAGTCAGGAAATCATAGAGATGGGATGATGATATTTTTACCCATGCAGAAGATGACTAGCCGCAGGTGGATTTTTATCTGCACAGCTTTAGATTAATACCAATCCAAAGCAACCAAAACCTGAAATGCAAGAGTGGACTATGAGTAGGGCTTACAGAAGTCACTCAAAGCCTGAGAAAGAAGATAACTTTTGATCTGTAGACAACCAACAAAAAATTTTTCATTTTTTTTTAAAACCTTTGTATTTCTTGCCACAAATGTCACTATGTATAGCTGTTCATCTGGAGCCCATACTCATAACATAATAGCTTTACTAAATACTAAAATGATATCTGCAATAGTAAATCATAAGTTGTAGAGGGTTCCTAAAGAACATGCTTGTATTTTATGTGTGCCCTTTTTTATTTTATTTTTTTACATTTTACTGCATTCTTGTAAAGTGTGCAAAGTGTGTGAGACATACAAGCCATTTCTGCTGTCATTAAATTAATTTATTTTTACAGTAACTACATGACAACATAAAGAAGTAACAAATTATGCAAGCTACATCACATAATCCTTGGGTAATTGTTATAAATACCCTCTAAACCTTATGAATAAGTGGGTCAGCGGCTGCTAAGGATTTGGATGATATGGCTCACTACTGAGGTTAGGGTTAGGGTATAGCCTTTCCTTAAATTGTGGTACAATACATTTGCTACAGGTTTTATCTCTTCCATTTTTCCCCACAGTCTTATGAACTTAAAAAGACAATTACATGTTAATTTAGCTGTTTAGAAACCACACACTTTGTCTATCTAAGTGTTGTCCCTGCTCCCTATCCCTAATATTCCTGTAACAACTCAGTAAAACTCCAGAAATTCTGTTAAGCTGTTTGGCCTTCCTGAGATCATCTATCCCCCAGCATCATCTGGCCACCACTGTGGGGGAAACAAATATTATGGAGGTCTCCCTGATTTCTAATTTGATATCTAAAATACTAAGAAGTGCAAGGCGTGAACATTTTGATCTACTATTTGATGAAATTTTCCAAAGTGGCCACTAGGGGTCAGTGTGTCACCATTAAAGAGGGCTGACTAATAGAGCACACCTTTATCACTTTTAGAGCAAATCCTGGCGCTTTAAGAACCTCACAACACTACTCTGGATAGAAATGTAATATCATGAGGAGTTTGCTATAATAACTAAACATTTCGCTGAGGAGAATAGGAGAATTAGAGGGACTTCAGAGTTTGTTGGACAGAAATTGGGAAGTGGGCGGGGCCACCTGATGACGCGGAGGAGCGGAGAAGCTGCTGTGTCAGTCACTGTTTGAGAGGCAGCTGCTGAAGTCCACTTGGAAACGGATAAGTCTCAATTCACGAGGAATCAGGACACGAATTCAGGTAAGATCTAAGGAATATTTCTCACTGCATTACACTCTCATTGTGGGGTTTTCTATTGTATTGTACTAAGAATGTAATTAATTTATTTTATCTTATATTGTTGCCTTCTAACACATTATTCCCATAAAAAAGAAACGCATGCATTCTCTTAAAATTACATGGAACATTTATGATTTATTTAGGAACTATACATTTTTGGGATCTCAAGCAGGATCATTATACTGTGTGTCTATAGGTGAAAATATCCACCGACACTCTGTGCGTCTCTATGCATGACTGCAATATGAAGTAATCTGGAGTTTTCAGGAGTTAGTTTTACTCCTTTTGACATTTCAACTGATTTAACACAGACCAAGTATCTATGCTGGAATGAAGATGACAGCTGAGAACATGTAAACACACAAGGTGTTGTAGGAGGAGCTGATCAGTTATTATCTGGGCAGTGTTTCACATTGAGACTAAATAGACTCAGTTAGCTAGCTTTTAATGATTGTTATCTTGATTGATCAGTATGGTACATTTAAAGAGCTTGTTTCCAAGTTTTTTTTGTTATCTAGATGTTTGTTAGGACTCTTACAGAAAGTGTTTGATCTGTTCTGAGTGAGTCAATATCCTGGTGCAGCTTCCTATTAGGAGTCCAAAGGGGCAATCATGATAAACACTGATGAAAACAGGAAGACTAAAACAAAATCTAGCTGCAAACAAATGAAGCTTTAAGTATAAGTTAGACAGTCCCATTTAACAGTCATATAGAAATGTAGAACTGTTAATATGTCCCTTTATTAACTTATGGATACCAGCAGTTGTTTACTGTTATTTTGAATTGATCAGGATTCATTGGGCCCGAACTGCATTCATTGTCACAATTGGAAAGGAATATAAATTCTTTGGAGAAAATAAAAAGCATTTTAATGATCTATATTTGTGATATGAGCACTGGGCTGCAAAGTGGTGCTGTTGTTTGTACATTTGCTTTGTAGGAAGAAGTCCTGTTCTGCAAGAAGTTTACATGCTCTCCATGAGCAGACATTAATTGCTCCTACTGCTGCTTATTGGTTTCTCTAAACTCTCCTGTTGTGTATTCACATGATAGACTTGAGATGTTTCCAGGGTATTCTCTGACTGCTGTCCAAAGATAACTGGACACAGGGCACTGATAAGGATGTAGATGGAATTGACTCTTCATCCTGCATAATTCATCATAAAAAAATAAAAAAATAGAAAAAAAAAACATGAAAATGGAATAAATGGAACATAAATGGAAATAAATGTCACTTAATGGGGGACAGACATTAATGACACATAGACTAGTAAAAGGATTAAATTAACCAGGACATTTTGTTTTAAAACATGAAATACAGCTATTGAAATCTCACTAGAATAATAATGATAGAAAAAAACAAACAAAAACAAAGCATGTCTGCAGCTATAATTAATTGCATTTTAATTGTATTTTAGCAACTAATGGTGCCATGCCTCCTTAGAGTGTTTTGGCAGTTTTGTTTTGTAGCCATTAATGATCTATAAATCAAAAATCCAAGTCCCCTTATGTCTTTATAGATTATGAATTTAAGGCTAGCGGGTCTTAAAGGGGTTTAGGCTGATATCACATCTGCAATAGAAAGTGGAGATTATTCCTGTTATATAAAACAGTAAAGCGCTTTATTAGAGAACTGATGGCAAACAGGATCTGAGTGAAAAAGCTCTGTTGCCTCTGTTTTTCTATCAGAATAACTCTAGTGTTAGGAATAAATGTACAGAACTCAGTGTTTTATTCACCACTGTAAAATGTAAAGCTGCTGTACTGTGAACAAATGCAGCTCAGTTAGGAAGGTTTAAAAGGCGGCTATCTCTTAGTCGAAGCACAGCTCACTGGCTCTGACTGTAATCTTTTCTTTGCCTTGTTGTTTAAGCACATCTATACACACAAAAAACGTTAGTTTTTTATTCTCTTTAGAAATGGTTTCTATTAATGGAGCTGTCACCACTGTTGCTCTATTGTTCAGCTCCATGGACACTTGATGACTGTTTGGCAAAATGTGAATAAATGTCTTGGGATAGAGAGCTTCCTGCCACTGAGATCAGCAGGTAAGCGGATCTGAAAGGTCAGGTTGTCAGTGTTCTGATTGATTTATTTTATTCCCAACATCTGGCTTCTTGTTTTCAAATAATTTTTCGAGTTATTGCTCAGTTGGAAGTTTAAAATTGAGAGTTTTTTTGTGGATTCTGTAAATTAAGGTCAGAGAGATGAAACCACAAATGTTTCATCTTAGAGAAAAGAGTTTTGAAAATGTGGTAATTACATGTGCCCATGGAGGATCCCTCTCTTCTGCCTTATGAGCACCACTACTGGCTCCTGATTGGACGGATTAGACTCAGACTTTAGTTGTTTTTAGAGGAAGCTTTTTAAAACCTGTCAGATCTGTTATGGTGGGCTTCTTTTGAGGTATTTTGTGACTTGGAAAACTGACCTTCCACATGGAGTACATGTGTACTTTTAGAGAAATTGCAACCAGTTTTCCAAATGCGGAAACCTGTGAAAAGCAGCCAGGATATGACTGATTGACATTCTGCTATTAGTGGATCATAAAAGTCACATTTCAAAGTCTTCCACTTAGATTTGATTTCCCTTTGGTAAAAAAAAATAAATGTCCCTTTGCTGAGATTGATAAGCCTTCACTATTGAGCTACAGTTGATCTTACTTTTATCTCAAATTCACTGTGTTTACAGTTCCTTTTTTGGTTTATTTTTAAAAGTATGACATCTAAAACTTAAAAGTCAGCTGGTGGTAATGAATATTTTTCATGTTAATTTAAAAACATATGCCACAAACCCAAAGCGGAGCCTTTTTTTCAGATACCAAACAACTGAATCCTGGTTTCAAAAGGCAGACAGTTTCTGGGAAAATAATTCAGGATTCTTTTTTTTTATTAATAATTATTACTGTTTACATTTCGTTTAAAAGTTGGCTTCACACAATTACATTTTCAAAACATAACTGAATAAATCATTGTATAACCAATAGAGCTGGTTTGTATTTGGGTTGTAGTAAAAAAAATAAAGAGATGTTTTGTTCAGTTGTATTATCTTTAACTGACTTCCCTATTTTAGTTTCCAAACTTGTGTCCTTTACAACCAGAAGTTTCCAACAGAGCTGAATTTGTATTTATTGTGAGCTAGGACGAAGTGGTTGAGCCTTTTTTCTGCCAACTAACCAGCAGTTTGCAGCAACATGTTACTCAATGAAATATAACATTCTTTCATGTCCTCAGAAGATTGTTACAGAAACCTTTTTAAAAGCTCTGTGAGTGTAACAAATCAAGCTTGATGAGCTTTTTTTATCCGTAACCTTTCGTCTGAGTTACAACGGTGCAAATTTTAAATTTAAAAATATATTTATCCAAGAGTTTTGGAAAAGGATGTATTCATATTGCTTTGCAGGTAAAACACCTTATATAACTTGATTTGGTCACCTGTGGATTGTCAGCCAATTCCTGCATGCTGCTGGTGTGCAAATGAAAGCAACTAACTTAGAGGAATTCCTGATAATCCACTGATCAATACTTTCCTAACACGACAAATGATTTTCTTATATAACCTCTCAAAGATCGCTGCTTCATCATCCTGTAGGCAATAACTTATCAAAGTTAACTTCGACTTGCCAAAGATCTGTTAAAAAAAATGAAACCTTTACCAGCAGAAAAAAAAACCAAGCATCTCACAAGAGTTAAATATTCAGCACACATCCACTCAAAGAGGACATGGTTTTAATAATAATCTTAGATTTTCCACGTTTGAAAGGGATGCTACTTGCTTAGGATGGCGATTATGTAACTTTTTCCAAAATACAAAGTCTGACGGAGCCCATATTTCCTCTGTGACAATATGTATACTATAAAAATAAAACACATGCTTCTGTTTCTCTGTATCACTGTCACCAGCATAGATATGGCGCATCGCTCTTGCTGCTGCATTATGCAACATTAAAGCCAGTTGTCATGGAGTTAGCCTTGGAGAACTACACAGACTTTCTGTAAGGCTGCAGTCATCGCCTTTACTGCTAATGTCTTCACTCTTAAACCTGTTCTTTTTTCCCCTTCTTTTTCTCTTTCTCATTTTGGATCAAAAGCTGCGTGCAATGCTCACATTCACATCTATGTGATGTATCAGGCAAAGACTCTTAGCTCAGAAGATGCAGACATGATGTGTGTGATGATGGAAAGTGCTGAAGAGTGCAGCTGTTTACGTTAGGATCTGGGAGCAGATAAAGTGAGTGGGTCTGCTGAAAAAGAAAGACGGTGGACAAAAACGATGTCACCATCGCTGCATGTAAAGTCGGCCATGGCTCCACAGAGCGTGTGTCAGAGTTTATTCTCCTTCTCAGAAAACAATTCATGTTTTTCTTCCTGAAGAGGGTTTACTTGGCTGGAGCAGCATTGGTATTCTTATCACAGCGTCCACACCATACACACACAAACACACAATTCAAAGAAACACTCATATTTCGTCATCAATCCACTGGAATGTTTGTCTCCTCTCAGGTATGTGTGCTGTTTGAGCCGATTTCCTCCTGTATCAATCTAGATTACTCTTCTCTGCATTTTAGCCTTCAGGTTTATAGTAGGGATATCGTTTTTAATCGATATTAATGGCGCTGCTCTCCTAATCCATGCTCAAAGAGTTTGCAACACATGATATGATGTGGTGTATGTCAAAAGCGCTTTGTCTTTTTTTTTTTTTTTTCCCCTGTGGTGATATTCTTTGAGCACCTTGTGCATTAGCTTATTTATGGTGACTTAAACTTGTTGCACCAACTTTTCTTTTTTCTTTAAAATTGTCTATCAAAGACTTACTCTATGGGCCTTGTTTCTGTTCTACTATTTCAGGCTTCCTTTCTCTTTGCTGCTGCACATCTGAAGAAACAAGCCATCAGAGTTTTATCAGAAGAGGTGAATGATCGAGAGAAGCAGCATTAAGAGACACCCTGCAGACATGTGGGGAGCTCACTTCCTGCCAGGGATGCTCCTGCTGCCGACCTTCTTGTGTGCACTGGCAGCTGACTTCCCGTTCACAGCGCCTTTGGACCTGGATGTGACTCCGCGTGTCACTGTGCTGAGCAGCGGTAAGAATATCATACGATTAGTGTTTTGCTGTGGTTATTCCATCTTTCAAGATGTACCATATCTTGCAGCCTGGCTTGGAGTGGTGTAAGATATTTCCTGGATGATAACCAGGATTAAAAAGCTGTTCAATAAAAAGTGAACAGCTTTTGCAGTCTCTGTTAAAATAATACAATAGATACATTTTGGGGTTCCCAGTCAGATATTGATTTTGGATACCGGAATATATCAGCCTACATCTAAAGTGTCCAATATATGAAAGCTGATTGAAACACTGATTTTATCTGCCTCTTCTTAAAGCTTTTTTAACTCATTGGTTAGTAATAAATGGTTCAGTTATTTTCATGCCTTTTCATTTTGACTATTGTTTTTATTATTTAAGTACTATCAATTGATGAAGTCAAATATTCCCCTTTACAATAAATCAGGTCACTATTGGTAACAGTCAAGCCTCAAAGCTGCTATATTGGTATCTCCCAAGAAACTCAAACACCCCTATATAACCCTATATAGGTTACATTTGATTTATTTTTTATCAGGCATAATATGTTATTCGTATCAAGTTCAGCAAGGATTTTAAAATGTATGGCTTCAACTCTGTAAAATAATTTCCTCCTATTCTCCCTTTTTATTAGAAGAAGCACCAGAGAGTGGCATTTTACCTGTCTGTATGGATCATATATATATATATATATATATATATATATATATATATATATATATATATATATATATATATATATATATATATCAAACTGCAAAAAGCCTACTTAATATACGCCCAAGCTGATAGCCCTATTAATTAATCAGCTGAAATTTGTTTCATGTATTTAAAGCAGAAAAGAAAATTAACAACTGCAAGTAATTTTACCTGTTTGTTTTATATGATGACAAAAACAACAAAATTAGCTATAATTAATAATAGATCTTATGTGAGAAGCAGTAATAAGAGTAGAATTTATTTGTTCCTTGAAAATTCTCTTTGCTTTAAGCTTTACCCAGAACTATTTTTAGAGTCCTTGATAATGATTTACTAAACTGCCTTTCTTGGCTATTGAATAGTTTAAGTCAGCTGAAAGAAAGTCCTGCAAAATAACCAGATGTGTGAGGATCAATATTTAATACAGAACACAAAGTGAACTGTGTAGCAGTATCTAAATAAACTTGCTTATTGTGCAGAATATGAGCTTTTTGCTGTTCTGCTATTTGTAAAGTAAAGCTGGCGATTCATATTATAGTAACTGAATTTAAACAAGTTATTTCTCCACAGTCGGTGACCTTACTAAAAAGCTGCTGTTAGCTCAACAACTTTAGTTTTAAAACACTGATACCTTAATGTCAATTTCCAAAACATGACTCTGTTTCTGTTCTCTGTTCTGTTCTCTGTTTTTTTGTCAGCAGAATTCTTTTTCAAATGGCTGATATTTGTGCTTTTTGTTTGGGAGGAAACTAGTGATGTTCAACAACAAGTAGGGAAGTAGACGTTCGGCAATATTCTGCTCTAAAAAGATAGCCAAATAACTCTGGCTACTTGTTAAAAGAACAATAAATAGGAATGAATCAGCTACAAAAGATACATTTAAACTTTTGATAACTTTGGCAGCCCTTGTTTTGTTGGAAAACAGGCAGACTGACCTTGTTTAAAGACTTAAATTCTATCAGATCTTCTAAAGTCTACAAATGATAAAAAATGTTAAATTTAGAGGACTGAACGAGCAACAGTCCAAAAGGGAATAAGCATTTTTCTGTTTTATTTCAGGTATTTTAGGATCTTTTTGGTTTACACCAATCTCTGTTTAAACAAAAATATATTCCTTTGCAATCAACCTTGCATTTTAGCTAGATATCGACATGCATAAGAAATTTTTCGATTTTTCCATCTGCAATGTTGCGATGCTTAAGTTTGTTGTCAAGATGTAGAAAATATTTGCAGCTTGTCAGATTTGCAGAGCTTCTCACTTCAATCTCCTTTAGATCCTCAAAATATTAAAGCTGTCAGTGGCAGTTAAGTCACCCTGGAGGGTATTTACTGAGAAGGTTTTCATCTTCCAAACCTCTGATTTACCCACACCAATCAAATTAGCTGGTGTTTTTATTAGAAATGGAAAAAAAAAACAATTCCATTAAAACTCAAATTGAACTTTCACAGTTCTGTGCAGCTGCTGGAAGAATCTAATCCTCATTGATTTCTTTTCTTTTTCTTATCATCGGGACAAGAGTTGTGGGATATCCAATTAGTCATAAAGCTCTTGAATCTACATCAATCTGCCACCTAACATAGCGGAAATTATAATAACATCACAGGTCTGAGACTTTGGAGGAATTAAGATATCAAAGATATATCTGAGAGCTTTCATTTCTTTAGCATTTCTAATCTTTGAGTTGTTCTTTCTTTTTCCCCATTAAAAAAAAAAGTTTAATGAAACTTTAGGAAATAAAAAAACTACTTTATGCCAAACAGAGCTAAGCTCCTTTAATCTTTCAGTTTCTGCACACTTGAAAACACACGTATCTTTAATATATTTTTCTTTAAAAGCGATGATTCGTCCCTCCATTTCCCCCCCCCCACTGAGCTGTGATTATTGTTTACTTACCATGTGAGCGATGGCATGTAGCTCGAGGTGCAGCGGAGACAGAAGCAGATGTGTGATTTGCTTTCAATTGGATCCCTGCAGTGCATCCAGGAAGTCTGACATTGCTAAGGATAGTAAGAAGCACCGTAACCATGACAACTGTTGTAGTATGGTGCTAGAAAGTGGTATACAATTTTGCCTGTAGGACATGCGAATTGTTTTCAGCAGTAGCTGTTTATTTGATTACCGTATATGTAAAGATGGAATTTACAATTTCTCAGTTTGATCGGCTTTCAAAAAGTCTGTTCTTATTCATACCATTTTCTAAGCAGCTCCTAATATTTCTCTTTATTTAAACCACTTTTAAAGATTTTTTTTTTTTACCATATATTTATAAATTGTGCTTATTAAAATGTTAGAACTTTTTCCACTGGTTGCTGCTGGATCCTTTAGTCATCTATATGTATTTCTCTTCCCTTTCTGCTGTTAATCTGCTTTCAAATTAATTAAATTGAAAATGTGTTGCAATATTTAAAACAATTTTATTCTCTAAGTTTGCAAAACTGGTAGAATTATACTATAAGAAACAATTGGAGTAAAAGATGTTTCTATACAGTTTTAAATAGCTGTCTTAATACAAGTGCATTTCAGATATTTTAATTTTACCCCTTCTCTACCATTTGACAGATGTGCTTTTTTTATATTAGCCACATAAAATCCAAACAGAGATATGAAAAGTTTAAGGGATATGAAAATGTTGGCACTGTCCTTTTACTAAAACTCTTTTTTTTTTTTCTCGGTTGCCTCTTCCTGATGAGAGGTTTCAATGTGCAAATCCCTCAAATATTTGTTTTTCTCTGCAATCTAAAAATAAGCCTCCTCAACCTGAGTGAGTAGACACAATTATGCAGGAACGCACGCATTTCACCTTAACTATTTTTCTCTTCAAAAAAGAAGAAAATGTATTCTTGTGGGGTTATCAGTTGGAAGAAATGTACATTTTTTTCTTTGAGCAGATTTAAAGCTTGGTGCTCTACCATTGATAGACATTGTTACATGGAGAATAACGTGATCAAACTAAGAACATCACTGTTGTCGACTCTTATTTAAACCTGTCAGGTTTTGGGAGGGTTTGCCTCCGAAATTCCTGTAAACGTCAATAAGGCAAGCAGTAAACATGTTTGACGGCAAAGCCTAGACAGTCTGTCATGTCACAGTCCGATGCCTTGAAGTTCCATAAGCTTGTGTGCAGGCTTTGTCTGTGTGTGCGTGTGTGTCCCTGAACACAGCGTACTTTGCTGGTCAGCTGAGGTCCCTCCAAGTGTTTGCTCAATAAATAACATCATCCGGGCTTTTTGTTTCACAACCCGACAAAAGCAGCCTATTCTGGAATGATCATGTAAGCCAAAGCTACAGACGTGCTTTTTGGGAGTATTATTGTAAAGCAACCCTGATAAATCTCCCTGCTTTGCAACACTTCCAGTGAGGGTGTTGAACTACCTCACTCCTGTGGTCAAACCTTCACTGACACTCTTCATGTTACATGCTTGGATTTCTTAGAGAAGTAGGCTTTCTCTCAGCCTTAATGAGACGCTCGTATTGAGTGAGAAAAAAAAATCTCCTGAGAGCGAGAACTCTTCTGGTTTCTGGTGAGAATAAAGGATTAAAGTAGACACCTGAAGACCCGGGAGCAGCACTGGGTAGGAAATAACTCCTGCTCAGCTGAACAGAGAGCATTGTGTTTCAGAGCAGCTGATAGGAATCTTAATGACAGCTTCCCTGATAACCATGCAATATTCAGAGAGAAGTGATTTGGCTGCGGCTGGTGCATTCATGACACATTTCTTTTTTGCCACAACGATCTCTGGCAGGCAGGAAAAGTAGATTTATTTATTTTTTCTTTTGCATTTATACTGTTTAATTGCTGTCAAAATGGCACCACACCTGATCACACAGGCTGTTAGCATCATGCTCTGTATATATTTTAATTAGATGTTTACTTAGAACTACATCACAGTTTTTTTTTTCATATATTACTTTGGCTCTAACAGGCTGAGAGATGTCTGTGTGTATTGACGTTAGCGTCCTGTTTATTCTACCTAAGTGGACGCTTGATAGATTGTATGTTTAGGATTTGCACAACTTTCTGCTGCAAGGGAGTTTGTAACATGTGTTGTTAGTGTATGTGTATGAACACACGCTGTACTGAATGTCTCCTCATTAGTATCTTGTTCTGTCAAACAGATCCATCCCAAGATAGCTTGGAATGCCTGATGGTGACATAAAGCTGAGACTAGGAATTTATATACACCGTATATAAGTAGTGCCATTTGTTCCAGATGTAAGATCTTGGCTGACATCTTGATATTTTGTGTCAATATTTATATCTGAACTGCAGGATCTTTTTTCCAGCTGTTGAAAGCAATAAGTACTGTTTCACTCTCCCTCCCCCACCTGTTGCTGTGCCCTACTTTTACCCCATACATTTTCTTCTTGTAAAAAAATATGTTTTTGATGCATATTACCTGACATTAAACAAGTTATATGCAGAAAATCTTGCAATCAGAAAAAAAAAAGAAAACTACTGGATTTTGCCGTTTAAATGCACATGCACAGTCAGGTCAGCTTGTTTTTGTTAATCTTCTCTTCTTTGGACTTATTTTTGAGTTTCTTTTTGAGTTTTCAGTTATTTATGTCATTCTGTTTTCTTGTTCATTGGTTTATTTTCTTATTTGTGTCATCGTAGTCATTAGTTTTATTTCCCTTTAGCCTTATTTAAGTTCTTTTCTAGTTACAGTTAAGCCCTGTTTTCCCTGGTTGCTCTTTGTTGCCCCCTGGTGCCCTTTTCCTTTCCCCTTGGCCCCCATTTTATCTGCTTCTGTCCACACCTGCTCCCAGTTAACAGATTACTCCACTCTTTGTTCTGTCTCCCATATATAATCCTCCTTTACAGTTAATCATTGCTGGTTTCTCTTCATCGCTTACTCCTCATGTGTGTTTCTCCCTGCATTCTCCTGTTTTTTTGTTTGTTTGTTTGTTTCATGCTTCTGTTGTCATTTGTTCCTTCATTAAATCAGCAAAACTCATCTCCGCCTCGTCGTCTCTGCATTTGGGTCCTCAGACAACCTGAACCCTACCTTGACAGTTTTATTCTGATCCTGCCAAATCCAGTCAGAACATCCCGACTGGCTTGTTTACATAATGCATTTTTATTCTGATCACCTGTTGATTCTGATTACCCATATAAATGTAGCTATTAAGTAGAAATGTAAGGAGCACCACCTATGACTCATTGTAACATTAAACCTGGTAGAAACTAGCAGTATTATTTTTTTTAAAGCAAATTCCTACACCTGAGCAACTGGAGCTTACAGCCTTATTAAGTAATCAGCTCTAATTAGTTTATTATCCTCATGCTACTATAAAAAGAGATTACCGGAACTATTCTGATTTGTTTCCAAGCTATGTTTCCTGCAGAAAATGCCCAATGATGCTGAGATGTGTGTTCTTAGTGATGAGGATGGACAGGAGCAAGAAGAAGTATATCCTTAGGGACTGCTAAGGATGGATTGATTCGGAACAAAAATAAGGTAAAATTGAGTTAGCTTGCACAGAGAGAGAGAGACACGGTGGGTATGTTTGGAGAAATGTGCTGGAGATTGGGCTGCCAGTCAGGTAAGATGAAGGGAAGGAGGCCAAGGGACTAGTGAGGGAGGACATGTAGGTGTTTAGCTTGACAGAAGAAAAACGCAGAGAACAGGGGATTGAGATGTGAATGGAAGGACCCAGAAGCAAAGAACCTGATACTTTCTCTTTGATGCTGCTTTTAGGTTTGGATGACAGTTTTAGCAATTTTTTGCAGAATAGACATTATCTTTGCCTTTAAATTACGTCTTGCATCTTGGATTACGGCCATGTAATCTTTGTACAAAAATATACTTGAATTTTCATGAGTTTTGATGAGTTAGGAAATAATTTATTTTTAGATAACAGCTGTGTATAACATGAATGATCAAGTGTTTACCCTTAATGATTTGTTTATCATTGCACTGGGTGGGGTATGAGAGTCAGCAAAGTAAACATTGTGTAGACAAAGGTGATGTAAGGAAAACGAGGGATGAAACTCCATCATAACATGCAGACTGCAGCTCAAGAGAGGTGCTCCTGGTCTGCATGTGAGAAGATCTGTCAAAGGTTGTGAAGGAAAGAACAGTGGTGAATTTGTGATAGGGTTGTTTATGGATTTGGTTAACAAAGACTGGCCTGCATAACCCCATAAAACAAATAGTTTTGGATTAATGATGGTGAAGGTTCTGCTGGTTCTGTAAGACAGATCAAAGTAAATGGTGAAATCTTTTGTTGTTTTTCATTTTGTGAATGGCTGGTGAGTTACTTACAAGAGACATACAGTATGAAGAGCCAGCAGAGGCAATAGGATACCTTGGGAAATGTTCTACTCTGAGAGTGTAGGTCTTATATACATATTGATGGCTCATAATGCCTACCAAAGGATTATTACAGACCTTTCAATGAATGGACTGGATTTTGATCCCAACAACATTTTGAAGAGTTGACTTGGCCTCCAAATTCCCCTGCTCTAAATCAGATTGAGCATTTGTGGGCTACTCTTGGACAAAAACTCAGATCTACGCAGGCCTACCTTGTAATTTACAGGACTTAAAAATCACCAAAACCTTGGTGTCAGGTTCTATACCTCCACTTTATGGTGTTTGTCGGCATAAAAAGAGAGACCAAGACACTAACAGGTAGTCGGTGGTGAAGTTATGCCTCATTGGTTTACATCTATTCAACTCAGCGAAAATTACAAATTATAAAACAAGTAGTAAAAATAAATGTGTTACCTACTAAGCACATCATAATCAGTATGCCATTTACGGTATAACATGCCTCATGAGTTCACATGTTCTTTAGTTATTGTTTCAGAGATGGTTGAAATGAAGTTCATATAGTTCTTTTTGACTTCTATATAGTTTTAAATATAGTTCAGCATTGTAAGATTGTAACTTATCTAGGTGATGCTCGTTCAAGAAAGACTTATTATTACAGATGTCGTTTAAACTGGTAAGGGTCATGGTTAAAAGACAGAAAATGTGACTTGTAGGTAATTGTTATCAATCAAAGTTTTATGGAATTATATTTGACACAGTTTTTAAAGTTTCAGTAAAATTGAATTAATAACTGAATCTATAGTCAAGCCATTTGGATTATGATGAGCAACAGTTCCTACTATTGATTTGGTAGACAGGGGAATACTTCTGCTTTGATTTCTTTAAGGCAGTCATCCAAGCTTACATATGCAACAATTTACAGTTTCTTTATTTTTTGTGGAAATTAGATTTTTTTTAAAGTTCTCTTTATAACGAGTTCTCTTCTTCTTTTAGTCATCTGTGAGATTTGCTCTAAAAACTGCTGAAAATACTCCTGTTATCCAGAGACACAAAAAGACATACAAAAATGCACACACACTCACACCAAAGGACAATTTATAAGAAGCCAATTAACAGTCATGTGTTTTGACTGTGGGAGGAAGCCAGAGTACCCAGAGAAAACCCACGCATGCACAGGGAGAACATTAAAACTCAGTGCAGAAAGACCCTGTGCAGGGAATCAAATCCAGAACCTTCTTGCTGCATAGCAAACTGTATCACCTGTTGCATTCATACATCTGATATCAATTCATTAGATCAAATTCTATATGGTCTATATGTGAATAACTGTTTAGATTTTCAACGCCATCAATGAGTGCTCAATATTAAATCCAAGCTCTGGTCTTTAGCTTAAACAGATATATTTTCTTATTTTGAGAAAGATGTGGAGCAATTATTAGCCTTGGATAATTCAAAACATTTTTAAAATCCAGCTACATTATAAACCTACAGACAGATCATCATTGTTAACAGATAAAAGAGCTGTTTATAATTAGCTTTCTTAGTTGAATAACTCTTATTCTTTTAACTTGTGATTTCCCCCATTTCAGCCTGATTATGTTGAAGTTAAACTTCAAAGAGGTAATAGAAGTAGTGTTGTTAACTGTTTTATTGGCTTGTTTCTGTCTGGACTAAAGTATAACCTTTGGAGAATGTAGAGATATATAGCAAACTGTCATCTCTATGTGAGTGATTATAATATTGCGATTACCAAAACTACCTAGGTACAATATTTGTAAAGTTGCAGAATTTCTGGACCAAATGTATTAAAAACCTTCCCTCCAATAATATGTTTGGCCAATTCACTATGCTTTATGCTTGCAATGAATACAGATCTGAGGGACCATGATCGATAGCTCAGTGGAAGAGCTGGGTGTTTCGTTATGATGGCAGAGAAATAGATTAAAAAGGAAAATGTTGGTTGATTGGAATCACAGCCTTGTGAAAAAGGCTTCAACATGAGGAGCCGTCTGCTGTGACGCTTTTAAAAGAATGGAATTTGATGAAGTAATTTTCTTCAGACAGCTTGGAAAAAAAAAAAAAAAAACATTGTAAGGAGAAGCAACAACACCTACGATTTTGCACCAGCATTCAAAAATCCTGCTGTGGGAAATCCATCATACCAAATGAAATTTACCTTTTATATCTTCGACATGTCAGATCAGATTAAGGAACCTCTCAGTCTTCAGTTTTTAATATGTCCTACATTATGCATTTTTGAACAAAAGCCCATCAGAATCTAAATATTTTACTTTATTCTGTTGCTTTACTCACCACACAACAAATATGTAATAGCATTTATAGTATAGTTGTGAATATGAAATTCTGACAACTGAGAAAACATTTTTCTTCTGGACCAGGTTATTTTTGAACCTACATTTTTTCCTACAGTGACAGACTGTAATCAAAAGTCCCAGTCTAAGGGGTTGTGCTTATTCCTAGGTACCAATGGCTTTATAAAAGTCAAACCAGCTTTAAATCGTACAGTTTTTTTTGTGAAAATGTTCTGCAAAAATAATTGAAGCCCAAAAACAATAGATCGTTTGAAGATATGAAAAAAAAAATCCTTTGCTGCTAATTTTGTCTGAGCAAGAGATTTAAAGGTATGATATATTTTTAACAGACATTATTTCTTTTTGCAGCAAAAGCAGTGTCAGTGGAGCACCCTCAATCAAACATCCTCCTCTCTCTTCTTTTCTCATCAGGTCTCCAGGGCTGCAGGCGTTTTAGGTCTTCTGCAGTCCCCATCAGTACGATGCTGCTGCAGGATGACAGTGAGCGGCTCTATGTGGGGGCTCAGGGGGCAGCTTTTGCTCTGAATGCCTCTGACATCTCAGCCAGTCCTCCTCTCTCTGTGAGTTTGTCTTCTTTGTATTGCTGCATGTTTTGTGCCTTACAGGGCTGCATCACAGGGCAGGAACCGTTATTAAAACATTTAAATCTGAGATCAGGCACTGTCCCACAGTTTGGATATTCATGTGTGTCAGTGGTGAAGCAATGGGCAAATCGAAGCACACTATAAATATAAATATAAGGGTTTTAAAAACTGAAAAAGAAAACAAAAAATCTAAATACATACACAGAACTTACAGCAAGGGAAAAAAAAACATCTTAAAGGTACACTATGCAACCGGTGTTGATTTTCCAGCGAGGCTCCCCCCAGAGGGCGAAAGTAAAAGTGCACTGTCGTAAATATGCACAGCTGTTCTCCTGGTTTCTCCGTCAAGCCAGGCGCGGTTGTTTTGAGCTTAGCAGACAGGCGAACGCAACGAATGACTAATGCTGCGTTCACACCGCAGCTGGCGCGACAGAAGCAGCGAGTTTACATGCAACGTAATGTCAAGGCGCAGCAAAAGGTCCCGCGGCGCGTTTTGAGCAGCAGGCGCAGCACGTCTGAGCAGCTGAAGCAGCGCATCGGGCGCGTTTAAGCATCTGACGCAGGGAGAGAGACACAGCGCTGATGATCACTCCTCTTAAACAGTTTATTGACGCCTAAATTAACTTAAAATGCAGAAATCTGCCGGCAGAATATGCAGTTTGGATTATTTAGATGAAAAACACCTACCAGCTGCCGTGGTGAACCGCGAGGAGGCGACCAGGCCAGAGGCTGCTGATGAAGGGATTGCTACTGTCGGCGCACCGCTGGTATGTGGGGGTCTGAGCGGCTCCGACAGAAAAAACATTGAAGGCAGGATAATAATCTGAATGAACTGACGGCACTGATTACGTTTTCAGGTGTATTTTCTCACTTAAAAACATATTAAAACTACTTTATTCCCACTGATCACAGCAAATATAGCTGCAAGGCAGAGAAAGGATAGTGAAGATCCGCCCAATGCGTGTCAGACACACTTTTGCACCGCGCAGCCAGAGCAGCAAAGCTGCTTCAGCCGCGCGTCAGAACTAACTGGTACAAGCAGCAAAAATGAAGCAGCAGACGCGATTTTGCTGCGTCCGATGTGAATGTAGCATAACTGCACAAAGATCGCCACTGTGCTAGCAACGACAATGCTTTTAACTGGGGGCGTTAGCAGTTCACGCCGTAAAGCAAGACTGACTCTCACGAGACTTCTGAGCCTGTGGGTGCGGGTCGGTGCTCCTGCAATTGCAAGTGCAGTATTTCCCCCACAGACCACCAGGGCGGCCGAGAATACCTTTGTTCAACCTGAAATGAATCATTTAATCATCCATAACGTTATGGAACACATTAATTAACTGAAAAATGTTGCATAGTGTGCCTTTAAAAAGAAAATGGTACAGTTATTTAAATGACATACTCGTAGTATATAAAGAAGTTCAAGGTAAAAATAATACAGCAGCCTTATTATATAAAAAATAATCATAGATATAGAAACACAGAGTAGAATTAAGACTGCAAAAGTGGCATGATAGTAAGAAACTAATATCATTGTTAACACTTATGTGCTCTAATGGGATCAGCAAAGATCATAAAGATACATTATTACTACTGCGGCTTGGAGGTTGGATCTGCGATAATGCTCTTTTGTCCAAATAGACTGTAGTATTCTTTGACTGAAGGAGCTCTCTAGTTAAGTGTTTAATTCCCTATTATAGAGCTTTATTTGTAGAAAATGATTAGGGTTAAACTTTTTTTTTTTAGCTCCAGTTTGCAAATAAAAAAACAATTAATGTGTAATTTGTACATAAATCTCAATGTTGGTTAGCTAAATGTTTGTAATACGAAAACAATACCTAATATTTAATGTTGCGGTTAACCATTAACCTTAAACATTCACATCCAAACTTTATTATCTTAAATTAAGGTTTAATGTGTAAGCGTTTCCTTGGACTTCTCAGCACAGGTTTGTTTTTTTTACTAGTGCTGGGCAATAAAAGATGGTTAGAATTTGACCTACTTTTTGATAAATATAGTATTCCTTTTATTCCTTTAGTTCTGGTTTCTGTCAGGGTTTGGTTGAGGTTTTGAGGACCCAAATGCAGAGGCAGGGAGGCAGACGTGAGTTTTTGTCGTTTTAATGGAGCGTTCACAGTTAACAGAGGCAGGAATCCAAAATCCAAATAAAAAATGCAATACAAACCAGAACCATGGAGACATCAGGGAAGACATGCACTAGGAGCCGTGGAAAGACAGGGAACCAGCACTGAGGAACTGCACAGGGAGAGTATTTATGTCTGACTGACCAAAGACTGGACTAACTGATTGGGAGCAGGTGTGAACAGAGGCTTCTAGAAAGGAGCTAGGGAAGAGGGGACCAACACAAGAGGGCAACAGAGGGTATCAAAGAAAAACCTAAGAATTCAATATATCCAGAAAACACAACAAAATAGAAATAAACCAATAAATTTGGAAAACATGGAGCAAAGTACAACTGAATACTGAAAAAGAAAACTTAACAAAACCAAGGCCGCAATAGTTTCCTTCTTACTTATCTGCAATAATTGTTTTATATAAATAACAAGGTTCTTTCACAAGGAGTGTCTCTTTCGACGGCAAAAAGGTATTTGCACCCTTATAGATTTCTTTGTTGCTTTGCTTTCCCCCCCCCTTAGATCATAAATCTTTGAACAACATTTGAAGCTAGTATATCAGGCTTTTTCAAGCTTTTCAAAGTCACCTATGAATATAATATATATCATAAATGAATACTTTTAAAACTACATGGGTATTCATTTGTTTTAAGATGTAGACATTTTCTTCCATCCCCTAAGAAAACAACTTGCCTTCAATGGGAAGGCGCCTCTCACTGTCTGTGTGCCGCCCTTTTGATGACGTCACCATATCCACCCTCTCAGGAGCCTGAACAAAATTTAAGACCACAGGCCAAAAAAACAGATTTTCGGAGCTTAGACTTTAGCTTAAAAGAAAAGTTGCTCCTCTGTATCATTTGTTGCTAAAAGAGCCACTTGGTCTTAACTTTGAGATGGAAACATCATCCTCTACCTCACATCACCCCTCCTTTACGGGAGAGCAGGGCCTTTGTTTACATTGCTGGTACAGTGCAGTCAAGGTAGGTGTTTCCTAGAGGGAGCCTCAATCTACGGAGGTAGTTTCCAAATTCATGACTATCACTCAGAGATGCATTAATCAAACGAAACACCCTTTATGATTCATGATTCCGATGAAGGAATACAATTTTAACTTAGTCTAAAGCTCAAAAACATTGATTTTGCATGGAATAGGTCTCTTTAATTTAATTAGAGAGACCTATTAATTAGACAGGCTAATATAGTCCATGCAATCTATTTATTTATTTTTGGGGTAAGTGTAGGAAGAGGGGGTGTTGCAGTTGACCTACAAAGATTGCTGTGCAATGAGTTTATGATTTAGAAAACTGCCTTGCACATGGTAAATGTTGACATTTGCATGATTTTTTTTATCTGGATGTGGCTTTTTTATAAAATATTAAACTCAACTTCCACCCCCCCAAAAAATGGGCATAATCACAATTAATTCATGATTAAGAAAAAAGCACGTTTTGGTTTTCCAAGTAAAGCCAGGTTGGTTTAGGCAGAGTAATATCTATTGATTTACTCAGGTTGTCTTTATGTGATAAACTGATTAACCTAATCAAATTAGAGTCTTGATTGTCTGCAGTTTTATTGTAATATTAAGTCGTTGATAAGACATGAAAGCATTTTGATGATTTTTAAACATCTATATGCATGATACCAATAAGCTTAGAGCCTTACTTTATTTATCTTGCCCTTTATAAGGAATGGTTTAGAAAATAGGCCTCTTTGTTGCATCATATTTTTATACCAGGGAAACAGAAAGTAAGGATGACTTATTCAAGGTTTCCTGACACTGATTGTATTAAAGGTAAACCCGGAAAGAAGAAATTGCTCACTTAATGTGTTTTTAAGGAATTTTGAAGAGTACAAATAAGTGAAACAACAGGTATGTATTTTTATTAGTATTTTTTCCATTTAAAAATCTTCCTCATTTACAGGCTGTATTATTCTTAAATGCTCTGTGTTATTACAATGTGATAAAGGAAAAGACCTTTACATTAAAGGTGCAGTCATATGGAGGGTGGGCCTTTTAAAGACCTATTAAATAAAAGTCAGTTTGTATGGATGAAGGTATGGCTGTCTGCATATAAGAAAAATGAATATATAATATGATATAATATAAACAAAAAATATTTCTGAAACAGTCAGTCTCCTAGTCAAATTGTTGGAAAAATCTCTTACATTATTTCATTGGCAGCTCCTCAAGCTCATCATCTTCATAACCTGACTCCGCCAGATGGATTTGCTCCGCATATCCATCTGGAAACCTTCCGTTGAAGTAATTTTGGGAAGGGGCGAAAATACTGGTTAGCTGATTGGCCTATGTTGGTGATAGACGGGCCAAAAAAACCAATCAGATCAACGAAGCATATGACGTACTAACAGAGCGACGACGAAAACACAACCACAAGCCAGGCTAGTCTTGCCGAAACCAGTCGAGAGAAGAGCAAACACATCTTTTCCTCTGAGAAAAGCCTCCAGAGCAGTGTTTTGCTCTTCTTTCAGTGAAGAAAAACTCTGTAATTCCAATAAAACTTGCTCTATAGCCACGCTAACGCTAGTTTACATCAGCTGAAGCCGCCATATTCTTTAGACTGAACTGTAGCGCTTCTTGTTGCGTCACACCTCAACCCGCCTCAAAACCAACGCTGATTGGACGTTCGTTTGGTGAACGGCTCCAAATTTTCTTTAACAGAAAGTCTCCAGACTGATTTGCAAGTGAAACCTTGAAAGCTTGTGAGATCATGATGGTCTCACGAGGCTATCATCTTCAGGCTACATGGAAAAAAAAACAAAAAAAAAAACTGAAATTAAGTTGTTTTCATTTCAATAAAAAAAAAAAACCCTAAGATTCATTTTAACATAAAATATAAACTAAGTGTTTAAAAATATTTTATCAGGCTTAAACCATTAATATAAACCGTTTTCTTTATGCCAAAAGAGAAAAAACTATATGAGCTCTTTTATAATAACCTACTGTCTTCTAAGAAAGACTTAAACTCCATTTTAGAGTCAAAGCATGGTTTCAACATGTTTCTCCTCTTTTGTACACAAGGTGAACTTTATCTCCCACCTGTTCTACTTTGTGTTTCATCTGGTGTTAGCTTTTCATAGGTGTGTGTAACACAGCATTACAAACCCTCCTCTGCCTCTGTCCTCTCCGTTAGCTCTGCTAAATATTTGTTTCATAACCTTAAAAATCATGTTTTGTTACTCAGACAGCAGTAACTTTAGATGCAAGGATGACCGAAAAATCTTACATGAAGGGCTTTAAAGCAGAAATATAATTATTGTCTATTTTCCTGCAAGTGTTTGATAATTTCTATATTATGCAGAATGATCAGTGATGTAATCCAGGTCTGTTTCTGTCTTGTTTTTCCTCTTATTCGGTCTATTATAGATTGAGTGGGAGGCCTCCAGTGAGAAAAAGAGTCTCTGTCTGCTCAAGGGAAAAGACAATAAGGTAGGCACTCTGTTCTTTCTTTATCCTCAGTCAATTCTTTTTATTTCTTTTTAAAGTTTTCTTTGTTTGATTCTCTTATACATTAATAGCTAAAAATATTTTAGCTGGCAAGTTTATCTCTTTCTTTATGCTAAAATGCTGCTTTATTCTTCTGAGAAGTTTTTTTTCCCCCTATTTCTACATCCCGTCATTCTTGTGCCTGTTTGAGGCATTTCTCTTTATTACAACACCCTGGTTTTATAATCGGACTGTTCAGTATTCTCTAAGCTTCGCTTATCAAGAGGGGATTTTCATTGGAAAAATGTTGAACTTGAAACAGCTAAAAAAGTAATGCATTTATCATATTTTCTACATTTCTTGTTCTTGTGTTACTTTAATGGTGTAATTATTTAGGTAATTGAAATGGATTTATGCAGGTTAAAATAAAGACCCAAAATAAAATACACAATCAATAGCGAAGAAATGTTTTTTGTAATTAAGAGCTTCTCTTCCATTTGTATCAAACAGGTAATTTCACTTAGTGTAATTCATTTACAAAAAAAAGACAAAAAACGTTAGACACTATGAATGATATAATGATATATATCCATGGACGACGATCATTAAACTGTAGCTATAGCAAACTACTGTTCAAAAACTTCAGCCTCCCTTCTACCTGTGAGCAGGTGTGGCTACAGCGTAACTTGCAACCATCTGTGGCTTAATGCCTGAAATGTAAAGGGCTATGAGGTTCTTGGACTTGATAAAGACCTATATGCCATGACTCAGAACAGAGGGACCCAGTATACAGGCAAGACAGAGAATGGGATAAAAAAAAAAAAAAAAAATAATTTATTAATTGCTGGCAGATCTGATTAGCAATGGCTTGGGCATCTGGGGCAGGAAACTCTGGAATAGGAAACACGGGTTAGTGACCACGTAAATCTAACAGAGGAAGATTATGAATGTGAGTCACTAACTTGGTTACTAGTTCTGTCCAAAGCCACAGAATGAGGTAAGATCTAGCTGGTTGGCCAACAAGATGTGGCGGGCGCTGCCCAGAGTGTCCCAGATGCTGCAGCCCTGGAGAACATGCAGGAGTCCGAAGCCAGGTCATGCAAACAGATCAGAACAGGAAGGCTTAGAGACCAAGGAGTCCAAAGAAAGTTCAGGCAAACCGTTCAGATGCGAACACGGAGGCTCAGTGGTAGAGAGGCAGAGCAGGTCAGGATCACGAAAACAGAAACTCTCAGGTAGTTTTAAAATGCTCTCACCACTGGCTAGAGAGAACAAGGATAATCTGGCAGTGATGACTGGATGAAAGCACCTTAAATAGAGACTGGAGCAGGTGGATAAGATGAGCAGTGATGAGAAACCGGACAGAGTTAGACAGGTGAATGGAGTGAATAATTAAGCCAGTCATCAGTTCCAAAATCATGACACTACTGTATATAAGTAAAGGGCGTTTCTTAGATTAAATAGGATGTAAATATATTATTGACTGATGGTTTGTGTGTGTATGTATTGCTGTTTGTTCCTTTTTTAAATCAAACTTTTTCTTTCTCTCTTTCAGACAGAGTGTTTCAATCATATTCGCCTCCTGCAGAGGTTTAACTCAACTCACCTTTACATGTGTGGGACTCATGCCTTTTGGCCGCTTTGTGCATACATTGTAGGTCCACGATCCACCTTTTTAGAAGATGTTTGATGATGCTAGATGAATATTGAAAACTGTATAAGCTAGATATTTTTATTTTAGTATTTTCAAAATGAAAGCGTCTCTATTTTTTTTTTCTTTTAGGAGGAGAAGACCTTTGTTATGTCCTCTGACCCTGAAGAAGGCAGAGATAAATGTCCTCATGGTCCAAAGACGGGTTACACAGCTGTCATTATAGGTACCGTATGCCACAGAAAATTTCTCTTTAATAAGGAATTTGTGTCCAAATCTAAATGATGAAAGGTGTTGTTTTTGCCTCAGACCAGCAGATATACACCGCCTCGCAGTATGATTTTTGGAGCTTTCCAGATATTCGCCGAAACTCTCCATCTCCTGTTTTGAGGACAGAGGATGCTCCCACACGCTGGCTGAATGGTGAGATCAGTTCTTGAAATAGAAGGATTCGGTCACATTTGGATGGGAAGATTGTACGAGTTAAGCAATATTTTATTTTTAAGTTATTTAACATTATGATGTTATCCTTGGTTAGCCCCAAGTAATTTAACAGTGTGGTTTCTTAATTCTAAATGGATAAGAAGAAGCAGAAAGATAGATTGTTTTGTTACTACAGAAAATCCATTGTCTTACAGCTGCTTTTTATTTTATTAGACCTAAATGGGATGAACATACAAAGACTCAATGTGGCTCTGAACTTCAAAATACAAAAATTGAATGTTAGTTAAATGTTATTTAATATAGCAACACAAAAATAATTAATTTAATTGTGACGTGGAATACTTTTTAGAATCACTCAGTTTCCAGTTCTTTGGGTGTGCAGCTCTCCAACTTTTTCACATTTGTAGGTGTGAAAAAGATGCAGTTTTTACTGAGTGCTTTTTGCAAAAAAGCAAAAACAATTTTGAGCTCTCCCTCAGATGCCTAATATGACTGAAATCTGGATTTTGACTGGTCCAATTAAATACATGCAAATGCGTCCATCCTTGGCTCTTTAAGGTAATTTTGGAAGGTGAACATCTTCCTCCTTTTATAGTCTGACACATTTTTATAAGGATTTACATCTGTTCTTGCATCAAGTTTAGTCATCTTTCCTGCCTCTGCTTTTCTTTAATACTGTCTCCTTGAACCCCAGTCGGCCTCAGCCAAAGGCCGCTCACTTTGAGTCTGGTTCTGCACGGGGTTCTTCCTTTTAAAAGGGAGCTTTTCCTCTCCACTCTCGCTACAAGCATGCTTAGTGTGAGGGATTGCAATTGAGTCAATAAGTTGATGCAATCCGATGGTTTTCCTTAGATAGAAAACTTTGAATCAATCTGATTGTACAGTACCTTGAGATGACATTTGTTGTGAATTGGTGCTTTATAAATAAGCTAAATTGAATTGAATAGTATACCACAAAGCCACAATGATGCTTCCACCACCATGGGTAACAGTGGGGATTTTTTTTTTCTTTATAAAAAAACATTGAATTAGATGAATGTGTTCCATTTATCTTACAGAAGAAATCATTATCAAATATTGCTGCAAAGATATACAGTGAGAAGAGTAACAAAAACCAACAAATCTACCAAGATATTTTTGACTCTTATATAGTATGTGCAGGATGATGATATCAGCTTCCCAGACCATGGTGTTTTGTAGGTCAGAATGGACCAAAGCACCCATTGTTTAACTGAGAACAACGAAAGCATAGCTATCTGTTTGATACTTTCCCATAAAGGACAGACCTTGGCAGCATCCTTTATTCACTCAACTTTGTTGTGCTCTGCTTTGTGTTGGTTTGTCACTTAAATTATTAATAAATACAATGGATTTTATTGATGTGAAGAGAAAACAAAAGTGTTAGACGGGTATGAATATGTTACAAGGCGCAGTAGCCCATAAACTGAAGAGAATATGATGTTTTAATCATTCCTCATTTCAGAAGCTGAATTTGTGGGCTCAGCTCTTGTACGGGAGAGTCTGGGCAGCAGCAACGGAGACGATGATAAGATCTACTTCTTCTTCACTGAGAAAAGCCAGGAGCAGACGACAAGCTCCAGTCACAGCAGGGTGGCACGAGTGGCCCGTGTTTGTAAGGTGAGAAAAGGGAAGAATGTGAAGTTTTCAGCTGATTTAACAACAGAGGGGCAGGGATGGAGATGCATTTAGAGCAAGGACTGTAATTAAAGGAGCAGACTGCATCTGTGATGAATTAGTTGCAGAGCCAGTGAAGCTTGAAGTGGTTGATTGCAGGTGAGACAGGCTTGTTAGCATCTTTCTTTTTAAAAATGTGAATGATAAATATTCCCTGAAACCCTGAATGGCACCAGCCATCTGCTCTCTTTTAGATCCTTGTCTAAATGATCCTTGTGTAAATCCTTGTCTCCTTAATGAAAAGCTCATTAGGTCTCTCTCTCCTTTATAGTAGAAAAACACTCTTTATTGTAGTAAGAAAATATGCCATTCCTATTTTTGCAATGTTGAAAACTTATCCTCAGAAGTACATTTTTTATAGACTGTTATCATGAATGTGTGTCTGTGTGTGTTTGGTCTGGCTGTGACATTTACCATCAATCTTATAGTGGGGAATTAAATTTTACAGGAGGGGGTCTTGACCCTGTCTGAATCTTTTTCTTTTGTGCACCCTCTGCTCTGGATTTTGGGAGGTGTCGCACATATGAAATATGGTACCTCAAATCTACCCTTCTCAGCTATAAATCCTCTGACACCCCTTTATCCAACTGAGCAATCTTTTTTTTTTTGTAGTCCTCACCTATCATGACTCTTATTACTCCAGTCTTTATGTTTCTTTCCCCTATCTGCATGTCTTGTCCCACAGGGAGACAGAGGAGGCCGTTTGACTCTCCAGAAACGATGGACATCCTTCCTGAAGGCCAGACTGACTTGCTCTGTTCCTGAGTTCGACTTCCACTTTAATATGCTGCGCAGTGTCTTTGTAATGCATGGCCTCACCCCACAGGACACACTGTTTTACGGCATCTTCGGCCTGGAGTGGTGAGTGAACATTTTCTTTGGGTCTGGGGGGCAAAGCTTTGAGATTGGATATGTGAAAGAGAGAGACTGAGAAGAAAATGCAACAATCGATACATTCAAATATGTCAGGAGGGGAGGAGGTAACAAGGGAGCAGAGAAACAAAGCCCAGAGAGCTTGACTTCCAACTGGTTTGATCATCTGAAGGTCGCTGAAGGACTTTTACTGATGTTTAGGAAAGGATTATAAAGATTTCTAGTTGTGTTTGAAATTTGTAGTCAGGATTTTACCTGCTGATACAGAGAAGATGAAGATTTGACATATAAAATAAATATTTTTTATGTTTTACTGCTGTTTTATCATAGATTTTGTTGGTTGTAACTTTTAACTTAGCTATAGTTTCTGTCTGAGACTAACTGTGGCTGCGGCTTGTTTTACTTAAATCTATTTGTGAAAGATTGAGGGTGAGTGTTAAAAGAACTCCTTGTATAAAAAAAATATATATATTAAAGCACATATACTGTCTAAATGTTTCATATGCTTTAACCTTTCTGTTTTTTATTATATTTCAACCATAAATTCCAATGGATTTTTATGGGATTGACATAGGAGAGATTATAAGATTGTGTTCTGCCTCCTTTGGACTCATTTAGCCAGTTGCCTTCGGAAGTCATCTGAATAGCAAACTATGTTACCTTACTATAGATCCAGCTATTTTGTGAAGGTTTGAACATTAGTGATAAAACTTTCTATCTGAAAGACAAGCAGACGGTTCAGAGAGATTATTATAGATTATAAAACTATTAGCCAAACTTTCATCATTTGTCAGACTGCTGTCCAATCTAATGGGTGACAATGGAAACAGCAAAGCTACAAAAGCATTGATTACCATCTAAGCCGACAGGATGGGAAAGGAGTGACTTCATCAGAGAATCAGCAGTGAGGCCCACAGTGACTCTGGAGGAGCTGTAGATGTTATGGGAAAAAAACATGTAGTTTATCATTGATGTATTGGATGAACAAATGATTTTTGTTTTTCTCCAGATAAAACAGAACCCATAGGGATTCTTTTTGGTGTGCAAATCAATTAGTTGATTGATGATGTGAAATTTTCCTTCAATTTCTGTTTTTGAGTGTTAATGATTCGTTAGCGACTCAGTGATTCCACACAATGTTGAAACCCAAACGTTTGTAATATTATGGTTAGGTTCCAGACTTTTGAGGGTTTTTTGTGAACCACTTGTGCATTTAATAAGCTACAGACAATCTGTTATCACAAGGCTGTAGTCCAGGAAAACTCAATATTATATTGAAGCAAAATGCTTACCAACATAAACAAATAAGAGTCTAAATATCTCGGTGAGGTTTTTAATCTCTTCAGCTCCACTTGGATCTCTTTGCTCTCGTAAACCAAATGATTTCTACTCAGCTTCATCTTTATCAGCATTCATCCCTTCTCCTCTTTGCCCTTGTTTTTTTTCGATTTGTCTCCCTTTGAGGAGATGAGCTGCAGCCTCGCTCTAGCTCGCCATGGTAACCCCTGGTTTACTAGTGTTAATGTTTTGTGACTTCTGCTCTGGTCTTTCTCACTGTGTTGCTTGACACGGAAAGGAAAAACGTGAAGGCGTCTGCAGTGTGTCGGTTCCCTCTGTCTGAAGTCCAAGAAGCCTTCGAAGGACCCTACATGGAGAATGAGGATTCTGGCACTACCTGGAAGGAATACGTTGGAAAAATCCCGGATCCGAGACCTGGAACTGTAAGCATGCATCTACTACATAGGAGGTTATGACTTTTGAGTTTAATAAATATGAAAGAAAACTCATGTTTAATTTATGTGGAACAGGAATAGTTGGTTAGCAGATAAAAGAATATAAGGTAAAGATGAACATATTGAAATACTGCACTAAACAGGAATGGAAAAAAAGAGAAAGAATAAGAGTCGGCTTCAAGGATAAGACTGAAAACCATTTTTGTAGCAATTAGGAAAAGGGTAAAGAGGCCAGCGCTCTACTTTGTATTAAGACATTTTCTATTGTGGGTAAATTTCAGCGTTTCTTCAGACTTAATTAAACTTTTCCATTAAATGGAAAAAAAGGAATGGTCAAAGGTTTTCAGGATGGGAGCGTGAAAGCCTTTTAGAGGAGCTGGCTGACATCATTTGAACAGAACAAAGAAAAAAAAGAGCTATTTCCTCATCCAGGTGCAGTGGGAGCAGAATTGTCCTCCTGTCAGCGTAAAGTGGATGCTGAGCTCACACAAGTTTATTAAAATCTGAATGAAAAATACACTTTCTCTTGAGACAGTCTCTCTAAAGTTTCTTTTTTTCCTTATGATCTCAGAATTCTCCATATGGATTGTCTCACTAATCCCTCTGACACCCTCTCTACTCTCCAGTGTTGGCCTCTATTTATAGACTAGTTTATTACATATAAGGAAAACATTTGTCTCTCTCTCTCTCCTTGCACTTTATTTTGTCCTTATTCCTATCCATGTCTCTCTGGCCTTTTTTTTTACTGCAGTGCATTACTGACGATCTGAGGTCCAAAGGCATAAACACATCCACATCCCTACCTGATGATGTCCTGGATTTTGTTAGACGACATCCTCTAATGTCCAAGCAGGTCCAGTCTGCAGACAGGCGTCCCCTCTTGTTCAGGAGGGCAACAGACTACACACAGATGGCAGCACAAGTGGTTCAGGGACTAGATGAGCAAATGTACCATGTGTTATACATGGGCACAGGTGCGTATGAAACTTTTTGTGAAGTGGACTGGTGGGATGATTTAAGCATTTATTGCCACGGTGTTAAATCGGATCATTTTAAAAATGACAGAGTGAAATCTGTGATTTAAGGGTTGTTCTCTATGATTTTTCATTAATCCCAAAAGAACAAAATGCAATTTTATTTAAAAGCTTAAGCTTTTGTCCTTGTAAAACCCGGCTCTTTTTTTTTTTTCAAATTAGGTCTGGGGGAAAAAATAAAAATTTTTGAATTCCAATCTTGTTCAAACAGTTTGTTATAACAGCTTAAAGATCAGCAAGTTCCATCCTAAACGTTTAATTGGAGATCCAAACTGTTCACTGACTCAATCAATGACCTTAAAAAGTTTATTTTCCTTAATAATGCATTTAAAAGATGGAATAGAGAAGCATGTCTTAAAGTTCAGCCTCCACCTGTCCATTTGTGGCGTTTTAGTATAGTTGTTATATTTATATTTTTCCCTGTGCTGCAAACCAATACATCAGACTGAACCTCCTGTAAGAGTAACGATTTCATATTTATTTTTCCCCCCTCTGGTTGTATTAGGCATCTGGTCATTTTAACTTATAAAGCAGCTCTTTATTATTGTTTAATCCAATCCTGATGTGTTTAACTTTGAACATGCCGGTTTATCATAATGAATATAGCCAAAAAAAAAAGAACATTGTTATAGCAGTTTGGTGAAATACCTAAAGATGTTTCAGTTTGTATAGAAGTGAGGGAAAGTGAATTTCTTTTAAACCAAAAGTTAAGTCCCACACTCTGCTCTTTGTATGGCATTTTATATTTAGTGTTTAATCCTATTTATTTACATCCACCTGAATTAATAGAGAGCCAGGCAGTTTTTTTAGATAAATCATCACCTCAACAAACCTTTAAAGGGATATGTTATATAATATGGTCTAACTTTATATATATTAAATTCCTTTTACCGTAAATACCGTAAAAGTGTGGTTTCCTTGTCTTTAAAGTTAGAGAGCCAGGCAGTTTTTTTAGATAAATCATCACCTCAACAAACCTTTAAAGGGATATGTTATATAATATGGTCTAACTTTATATATATTAAATTCCTTTTACCGTAAATTCTGTTTTTCTTGATCTTTCTCATCTAGATGAAGGTTGGTTGCACAAAGCGGTAGATATCAAAGGTCAGCTGCACATTATTGAAGAGTTGCAGCTGTTTGAGCAACCAGTCCCTGTTATCAGCGTGCTAATATCTTCAAACAAGGTAGTCAGCCTGACCGTCTGAAACCCACCAAGTATAAGCATAGATCACTTTCCTATGATACTAAAATCCTCCCCCCTCCACAGAGGGGTGTGTACATCGGCTCCCCATCAGGCGTTGTTCAGCTGCCGCTCTCTAACTGCATAAGGTATTCATCCTGCTATGACTGCATCTTTGCCCGGGATCCTCACTGTGCCTGGAACGGAGCAGAGTGTGTGGACATGATGACCCAGTCCAACAGGTGAGTGTTGAAATCTGTGAGGGTGCAGCTGGATTAAGTGGCTGAAGGTGACCCTTTGTTGTGCTAATCGCTAACCTCATATGTTGCTTTGTCCTCTTACAATGTGAGCTCCCAAAACAGATGCATAAACAGACTGCTGGCAGAAACTTGACCCTGGCTGTAATTGTAAACACATCATGCAGCTGCATATTTCAAATATGCTAATTGATGTGGACATATAAGCTTTGTCAGCAGAAGCAAGCAGAGTACAAAAAGGGAGATATATAGAATGCTTTGTAAAACTATTGATATCCCTGTTCTTTTCTTATGTATTCTAGGTCATAGCCTAACAGAAGGTTTATAGGTTTGGTCCAGTGGGGATAGTTTCCTCTTTTCCAGTTGTTCTGACTTTGTTATGAGACATTATAATTTTTTTTATTGTCATTCATTTGTTTATCTGAATGTGCAAAATAAAACAGATCTTAAAATTTTTTTTTTTAATTTTTTTTTTTTTTATGGAAAGAGTACAGCTTCACTGGAGGAGAGACTTCTCCTTTTTGTTTTACTTTTTTCAATTTATATTTTTTTTATTTGTTGTGTTATAATCAAATCCATAACAGACTGAGCGGCCTGTAAACACATCTAAAAAAAGAAGAAAATGCCTCTCCCTGTTTCTGGTTTGGCAAAATAAAATAAAAAGATAATGGTTTGGATCAGTTCTTTCTGTCTGTCTGAAGTTTAAGTAGATAAATCTCTGCTGCACAGTGGTACTGAGGGAAAAAGCTGCAGCTGGAAGGAGTTTATGTGCATCATTAAAAACAGCATTAGGTTTTTTTTTGTGTTTGTTTTGTTTTTTCATGGGCTGCATCTTAACCAGTAGATCTAAAAAAAAAGAAACAAAAAAATCACTTAAAAAACGATTGTTGAAAGGCTGAGTTTTTTTGTCCAATTGCCCAACCTTAATACTTACTGTATTAAGGTTGTCAGGAACTCTAAAGCACTTTACTCTACAATGAGTCATGGACCCATTTACACACACACTCAAACAGATATACAAGCAGTCCACATTTTTCCCCTTAAATAAAGTAATGTTCGGTCACTTTCTTCCAGGAAGGTCTTAACCAGTAAACATGAACACGGCATGAAACAAAACCTGAACACATCATGTTCTGGTATCATGGTGGCAGGATCATGCTATGGGAATGTTTACACTTAACAAGAAATAAATGGAAAACTGATCAAACTTTATCACTGGAAGGGAACTGTTAGAGGCTGTTACTGACTTCAGATTGAACAAACAGGCAGAATTACTATGAGATGGTTAAGATAGAAATCCCTAGTCAAAGTCTAGACCAGCTATTTTGCAAAAAAAAAAAGAAAGACATACAGTAAATTGAATCCAGTCTACAAATAGCCATTCCCCCAAATACCTATAGCTGTAAAAACATTAAAAGTGGTTCTGAACAGAGATTTTATTAAGGAGTAGTGTGTATAAATTGGTACCTTAATTTCCTTTTAGTTTTCTTTTATTGTAAACAAATTATCCATACCCTTTGACTATAAAAATACATGTGTGTTATTTCATCTTTGTATAGCATATAAAAACTTGTAAAACTATGTACGCTATGTATGTGGGTCTGTAACATGATAAAATGTTACAGACCCACATACATATACCAAAGTTGAGTATGCCTTTGTGAGAGATTGTAAATAGTTCTAATTCAAAGGCTAAGAAATAAATATCTCTCCAGACTTTCATTCATTCTGTTGCACTTATTATTTTTTCCTCTCTTTTGACAGATCCAACTTAATCCAAGACATACTGCATGGCAGAACGGGCTGCGAGAGCACAAGATACGGTACAAAAACATCTTATCTGATTCTTATAAGAAAAGTTTTATGTATTTAGAGAGGATTAAAAATAGAGAATATGAGGCTCAAAAGATGCCATGCGTGAAGGCCTCTTTGAAAGTTGATTATATGCACAGCGTTGGTAAAATCCTCTCCTCCCTTCTTTAATCACATCTTTGCTGTCTATGGAGAGAAATCTGTTTGATATTCAAGGCAGGCGAATGCCTTCTCTCCACTTATCAATTTTTACTCTGATGAAATGTAGCATCGTCTTTCTCCTGATTCTGCCTCTCTGTGGGGTAGTATGATAGCAGAGATTAAAATATTTCTAATTGGACATCATGCTATTATAAATCTAGGCATTTATTGATTAATATGGAAAATTTTCAATAATTAGCATATGAGCCAAGTAGTTAAGAACCATTTCATAAAGTTAGTCTGTCTTTTCTTCTACTTTGCTTTGTGCAAATGCTTTTTCCTCTAAAGCTCCAATACATTTTGTAATTTTAAGAGCATATGCATTAAATTATGATTATATGGGAAAGATTTTTCTTTCTTTTTTGTTCTTTGTCTCAATAAGTATAATTTCCCAAGTACGTGCTCTTTGAAAAGTGTGAAAAGTGCATATGCATACAGGCCCCAAAAGGGAAAAAAAATCACTTTGAAACTCTTTCAAATACTATTTTATTAATCAAATATTAATATAGTAAATCATGAGCACATTTTATGAGCAAAGGCATGAAATACCAAAACCAGTTTGGAAATGGGGGGAGGGGGGGTACGTTTTGAAATATATTCTTTTAAGAGCTCAGACAGTTAAAAATATTTTTCTAATACAAATCCAAATGTCTATAATGTAACTAACTAATCACTATAGCAGGGCTGCTAAGTGTCAGTGAATTACAAGAGTGAGACTTGTGTCATGATGCATTTAGGTCCAAAATTTTTTAAAACTTTTTAAAAAGTTAATTATGGTGTAAGTGGTCACAAACTTGTCTGGCAACTATTTTCTCAAGAATTTTAGATAAGAAAGGAGGATTGGATATAGGTCTATAATTGACCAAGTCATCTGGGTCAAGAGTCTGTTTCTTAAGTTAAGGTTCAATTACAGCTACCTTAAAAGTCTTTGTACATATGACTGTAAAAAGGATAGATTAGATGAACGCAACAGTTTTGCTAACAGATACTGCCTCACCTTCCAGGGATAAACCAATAGTTTAGAGTGCTAATGATCTTATTTAAAAAAGAATCTATTTTATTTATGAAGAATCCCATAAAATCATTACTGCTAACAGTGTTGGGAAAGTTCTCTTTCTACGTGAACTAGTTCAAAGTTAAGTTCACACATTTTAAAATGAACTAGTTCAGTTCATAGTTCATAATTCAAAATTTTGAACTAAGTTCACAGTTCCCAAAAATGAACTAGTTCATAGTTCTTTTTTTTTTCATATATTGCTCAATTACACCATAGCCTACTGTAGAACCACAGACAGCAATTATTTTATCAGTTGTAACACTGAAACTGTGCGTCAGATTTCATCTTCATATCCAGTTTTGAATCCTTATCCAACCAGGGTTTACATTAGCAGTGAGGGGACAGATTTCCCCTTTGTTGCTTTAACGCTTTGTTGCTGTCCATTCACTTCACACTAGTAGCAGCTGCAGTTTTCACCCCTACAGTATATTCTCAAAAACATCAGGAAAAATGTGCTGCTTGAATGGTCTTTTTTATGAGGAATTATTAAAAGAAAAACAGGAAAGTAGTCTTTAAGGCGCAAATGTTTTTTTAATTTTAATAATTTTTTCAATTTGAAATTCCATTTCAGTACGTACTAAATAGGAATACTGGAATCCTGGAAAATTATACCAGGCAGGTTTAACAAACAAGTTACATGAATAGTAAAACCCTCAAGAACATTTTACTAACACAAACTGAGGGACCAGGCTGAGGTAGAAATTTAAGGTTACTGAAGTGCGAATTTTTTTTTATTGAAAGCCGGCGGGCAAAGTTTGTCGCATCCACGGTCGCCTCCATGCTGCTGTGGCTTCCACGCTGCATTTTGTTTTGATGACGCATGCGGCTGTAGGCTGCGACACTGGTAGCTGGTGTTGCCAGTTTGGTGTTTTTCCCGCTACATATTAAGGCCTGTTTACGGTGTGATTTAGCCGGGGTTTCGCCTGGAGGGCTCTATAGAAATTTGGCAACCTATTGAACGGAGTTGAACTGAGAGAGCGTGCCGTTCACAGACACCAGAATGAACGAGTTCACAATAACGTTCATCAGGCAGTAATGCAGTACGTTCAGTTCACGTTCGCCCAATATATGAACGAGTTCATGAACTTTCGTTCAATGAACGCGTTCAGGCACAACACTGACTGCTAAGAGCAGGTAGGATGGACGGTTCCACAGAGTTATGGCTCTGGGTGAGTTTGGAAACTGTAATAAAAAGATATCTAGGATTACTCTTAGTCTCCTCTATTAATGAGGAAAAAGAATGCTGCTCTTGCTTTCCAAGGGTTCCTCTTATACAGCAGTAAACTATTTTTCCAGACTAGGTAGGATTCCCGTTGACATGTAGAGCGCCATTTCCACTCCAATTTCCTAGAATTTTGCTTCAGAGTGTGCAGCTCTGCATTAAACCAGGGAGCCAGCTTTCTATTTTTCTAGTTTTTCGTTTTCAAATGGGCTGCGTTGTCTAAGGCTATATGCTGCGAACTAGCAACCCCATCAACAAAATCATCAACCTGTAAAGGGGAATAAACATAACGTTTGCCCTCTGCAGCACTGCTCAGCAATACAGAGGAGAAAGAAAGTGAAACAGATTCTTTAAAATGTATAACTGCACTATCTGATAATGATCTGCTAAAGTAAAACCTTATTTTGGGGAAGGAGGACTCTGTAAAGTAATCCTGAAGGTTGTTGAAAAGTGGTCAGAGAGGACAGGATTCTGAGGAAAACTGTTACTTCTTCACATTTAATGTCAGCACAAGGTCCAAAGTATGAAGATGAAAATGTGTGAGAGTATTCACATCTTGAACAAAGCCAATAGCGTCTAAGATAGCATAGAAAATTTTATTTATGGTTCGACATAATATAAACATTAAATTAGTTGAGCAGTTGGTCTATTTTTAATTACATAGTAAACCTCTAAAATACCTACCTCATAAAACATGTATGAATTCTGTATTATTAATCTTAAATTGTAGTATATTGTTGTAAGAAATTAATTGCTGTATATTTGACACTTTTTGGTTAATATACTTTAAAAGTTTAAAAGTAGGACGTTCTACAGATTAGGATTATTAAAAGGGGCGGCACATTTTTCCATCACACTCATCCCAAGCGGGGTCACGAGGGGTGCTGGTGCCTATCTCCAGCTGTCTTTGAGTGAGAGGCGGGGTACACCCTGGACAAGTCGCCAGAGACAAACAGGACAAACAACCATTCACACACAAACATAAATAGAAACAAACCCCTCCAGCAAATAAAACCTGTCATTACAGCAGAGAATTGACATAGATAAATGTAAATTGTCTGAAATACTTGACAATTTTAACAATATTTAATTTCAAATAACAACACAATAACATAATTTGGGGACATGTCTAATGTTGTGTTAGTTATGGAGCCTAGTTCAACTGAAGAAACCATTACTTACCCTTATCGTCCTCCGTCACAGGCCAATCGAGCTTTGAACCACACCTCCATGAAAGCCAATCAGCATTCATAGTTGAGCTTAAAAGGTCTCCAAATCCACATCTCTGTCTGCTACCCAAAGTGCATGCAGTGGTTGCGCTATGTCCGACTTCGATTCAGATGACCCTGATTCAACCCACCTCCATCCCCTTCTCCACCATCGTAGCTAAAGCTTCATCAGAGTGTTATTCCTCCCAGACATTTTCTGTGTTCTCTGTCTCGTCTGGTCAGGCAGATGACCACCATGGTGAACCTGGCTCTGTCAGAGGTTTCTTCCCAATGGGGAGTCTTCGACCACAAATACTTTGGCAAATCTTGTCCTGTTCATGTGTGAATCTTGTATGCTTGTATGAATCGTGCTGTGTGTGTGGATCTTCTACTGTGTGTGTGTGTGAATTTTTTTGTACTTGTGTGAATTGTGCTGTGTGTGTTGCTCTGAGAGTTAGTCAACTACAATCTCATTATTGTTGTAAAATAGCTCCAGCCCCTTTGAAAGGAGGCGCTTGGGCTTAAGGCGTTTAACATTAACAGGTTTATTGTGAAGTGACAAAAAGGTCAAAGGGGAAACCATACTTTTGCACGGCACTGTTTAACACATTCGTTTTTTTTCTTTTTTTAGACGTGGTCCAGCGGAGTCGCTCTGTTCGGGTTGGTGATGACGTGCTGCTTCAGTGTGAGCTAAGCTCCAACTTGGCAACACCCTTATGGACGCTGGACGGTAGCCAGGTGCAGGGCTATGACCTCAGCTCTGGCTTCAGAACAGGGACAGACGGCCTGCTGATCATCGAAGCTCGACATGACCAGAGTGGTCTCTACACCTGTCATGCTGTTGAGAACAACGTCAAGGTTGCTGTAGTAACCTACAATGTATCCATCAGTCTGGATTTGCCTCCCCCTCCGCACACTAAAAAGTTCAACATAATAACTACATTACCAGCTCCAACTGTGCATCCCTCATCCGATGGAGCCCACACACTCCTCCTGCTGTCCCCAAGAAACATGGAAGCCATTTACCTCTCCCTCATCACAGTCCTTGGTGGGCTTTGTTTTGTCCTCACTGTTGTTCTTGCTTATGTGGGCTTCTGCCTGCGGACAGGCCAGAGAGGGAAATACTCTCTGCGTGCCGCGGCCGCAGCACACCCGAGCAGTAAGAGGAGCAGCAGGTGCAAAAAACAGCACAGAATCTCATCCAGCATGGAGCTGAAGACCATCTCAAGTCACTGCAATGGCATTTGTAATGGAGTTTCCAAGCCGCGTAATGAAGACCTGCAGGATGGAGGCTTTTTACAGATTGTTCCCGGTGAGGGTCAGACTTCAATGAATAATGAGACTCCTCCACCAGCACCTCCTCTCCCTCCCACTCCACAACATACATCTCAAGAGTGTGACTTCCCAAATGGTCTATCAGCCACACTGCCCAGCGTTCTGAGGAGGATGAACGGGAACAGCTACGTGTTGCTGAGGCAGAGTGACTCAGAAAACACTTCCCCGCTCTCCCACACCTTTTCTGAGGAGCTAAGCAGGATCTTAGAAAAAAGAAAGCACACTCAACTGTTGCCCAGGCCGGATGAGAGCTCAGTGTAGATTTATGGAGACCCTGTGCCTGTCGCATTGACCCTTCATTGTCGTAGACTATATCAATGAAAAAGTCTCATTTCCATTATTTGCTTGGATTTTTTTTTTTTTTGACAGTTCTGCCTTTTGAACTACTGAGCCATTTATTTTGCTGTGAAAGACCAACCCCCCCAGCACACTACAGATGAAAATGAAACTTTCCAGTGAAGGTCAGAGTATGAATCATGAAAAAAAAGTGCAATCTACCTCACCTCAACACTGCCGGAATAGACATATTGTCAAGACTGCTGTCTGTTCTAAGGATTGGTGCTGAAATATCACGGATCTATGAAGAGCAAAGCAGGATGCACATTGCCTGACAAAAAGAAGTGAAGTCATGGTGCAATATAAACAGAACTGAAGAGTGAAGTTTGTCTATAGGGCAGCTAGCACTGTTTGTCTCTACATGAGCTACAGCAAGGATGGGCTATGCATTTTTAAAACCGGATTCACTTATTAAGAAAACGGATGTAAATGGAAATGAGAGTATTTTACTATCAGACTGCTCTTATGGTGACCCATGAAATAGTTCGGCTGCTGCTTGATAGTCTTTCATGTTGTTGACAGACTTCACCTTCGAACTGGTGACATTTTTCTGCCTGCACTGTAGCCTCCATGAGGCCAGCATGCAGCTGCGTGGATGGAACAACAAGGGAATTTTACCACCATGCTGTGTCTGTCTGCTGGAGAGGCTCTATAACACTACAGACATCCGCAGCAACAAGCACAATGACGTACAAAACCATTTTTAAATATGACTTCCAGGAAGAAACTATCAGTTAAAAGTTGTGAATAACTTCTTAAAACTTCATATTAATGCAAATTAATCTACTGTCTTTTTAAAGATAACAGTGATGATACTGTATATTAATGTTTACTTAATTTATTTATCGAATAAGTAACCTCTGGTTAGCATGGGCTAGTGTAAGATTTTCATGGTTCGATAACCATGGATAAAAAAAACCATGGGTTTCACAATGTAATGGTGTTATGATACAAGAATTGAAAACAAAAATGGACAACATGGTCTGCTTTAGTTTGAAGCAGCTTATCAACCAGTAGGTAGGTTGCTAATTGTAGTTTTACAACAGTGTTACCTTGATAACCTGCCTCTCGCCTGATATACACCTGGTGTTTATGCATCAGGAGCTTAATCCCACACACTACCTGCAGGGAGTGTGTTCTATTGTTTTTGCCAGTTGTGCACACCCCAGTTTTTGCAACAGTTTGCACTAATTCACCAAACAAGAAAAGTGAGAAGGTAGTCTAAGAGCTCTTTGTTTTAAAAAGGACATGCATGGCTGAATATCAACTGAAGGAAAATCTTGCATAGACTTCCAAAAACATCTTGGTAGTTAAACTGATTGTGTAGCTAATGCGTCCGCTGCATCTGTAGTGTAATTTGCTTGTATACGCTAGTGAGGCAATACATCCAAAGTTTCACTCCTTTGGAAGTGTAGTCAATTCTGTACCCCTTAAGAGAAGATAGAAAATATATTTAAAAAGTGCATAAAAGGTAAAAGGATGTTTTCTACATACAAGTTCTGTCAGGAAGTCTGTAAAGCAGAATAGTTTTAAGTTTCCAGATCTAGAATGTCTTGCACTTTCTCTACCATGTATGTGAGAAATAAGAAGAAGTTTTCAGCTGTTCTAACCTTGATACACCTTACTAATGCTAAGCAGCCCATGGGTAATGTTTTCCTATTGTTGTACGTTTATTTATGCCCCTTGCAGATTAAGGTTGAAAGTTAATATTTTGACTTTACTCTTTTTACTTTTGATGGAAGCAATATTAAGGTTTTAGAGGGACCAAGCAAGAGAGCCGACTTGAATCTGATTAGAAATCTGTTGAGGGAACTGTAATGCCTAAAAATAATTATAGTACAAAATCTGTCAGGGGTATGGATAATATAGGGTTTACATGTATTTGTTAACAAGGTCAGACATTGTACAACCTGTCACATGTGAAGTTCTTGACTGATAAAAGGTTTATTTTAAACCTTCACTCATTTTTTGCCCTTTTTATTAGAAAATGTTTCAGTCCCAGTAAACTAAATGGGAAAAAAAAAACAAAATAGAACATTGTCCTGTTGCATCAAGAACAGCTAAACTAAAATCAGATTGATTTTCTGATGACAACCGTTTTGGATATTTGACAGTATTATTCTGCTTCAGTGCACTTTAAGTACCACTTTATTTTTTTAAATTGAGGATTTTCTAAACACTGATGTAAAGTTAGGGGAATATTTGGCCCTTTTGTTCCTCCGTAGAGGGGTGGTGTATGTCGCAGCTTTGTTTTGCAGGACTGTTCGACAAAGTGAACCCAAATGCTATTTGAACCGAGCCTAAACGCACAGCTGAAGGACACCCAACATGAGAGCGACTGACTGCAAGGTACCAAAAGAAACCAAGGTGTCTAGTATTTGTTGTCTTACCAGCACATATCCTACACAGGGCTGTCTGAGCTGGCAGACAAGTACTTGAATATAAAGCCTGAGGAATTAGGAGGACAGCAAACATAGAGAGCAAGATGTTTCTTGCTTTCTGCTGGATTTATATTCCGCCTTATGCTAACAGGTTGTTGATGTGGCACCTGTTTACAGCTCGTGAAATGATTTCAACATGCTCTAATGTAAACAGCTGCTGGTTGTGTGATTCATGTGAACACCTTGTTAGTAGGAAAAATATCAACTTTAACACCCTAACTGATAAAAGATAATAAACGCTACAGCTCAATTTGTAAATGTAATTTAAATGTTGTTAAAGTTATGCATCATATGATGTACCTCATCTGAGTGGAGAGATGAATTCGTTTTGGTTTGTGCCACAAGTATGGTCTTTATCTCATTCAGTTCCCGTTTTTATTTCCCCTTTCCCTCAGCTTAAGTTGTGTCTCCTTCTGTCTGAGCACAGCAGTAATTAGGCATTTGTCTTATGACAAGTAGACCTCAGCAGGGAGCAGGGAGATCTCTCAAGATATTTATGCTTTGCTCCGCTCTTAAGTTTCCAATTACTTTCTCATCCCCTCGGGCTTACAGTCTGGAGTTTTTATTATTTTAAAATGGAAATGTACAAACAAGTACACTTCATTCCCCCTACAAATATGCATGCAGTAGTCTGAGATTTTATTAGGCCATCCGTTTGTTTTGGATGTTGGATTTAAGAAATTAAGCCAAATTAAAGGCAGACATGGACTGACATGTACTGCCCCTCCACAATTATCTGCACTTCCTGCTCTGTATTTTGTAAATGTTTTTGCCAAAAGGAAAATGCTGGATGGTGTTGAGGTTAGAACATACATCTTTAACCAGTCCTATTTGCATATTGCTGCTACATGGCTGCTCTGTTTTACTCCCCCCTCAGATAACCCGAAAGGTTTTCTTAAGATTTAGAACTGATAGAGCCCTAAAAAAAGCTTGATTTCCTTCTCTTTTTTTTTTTGCATTAGAAATCATGAGAAATTTCTATGCTGGCCTATTTTTAATATAACGTTATTAATAACCCTAAAGAGATCACAACCACAGACACTCATTAAGTTACCAGGCCCATTTAGACCCCCGACATCACAAATCCTCCACCAATAAGAACATATTATTTTGGGTCTTTTTCCACATATTTCTCATTTTAGGTAACATCTAACTGGAGCATCAGAGCCAAAAAGATTCATTTGAATTATTTTCTGACCAAAACATGATTTCAGCGACAGTTACAGTAGCATTTAAAAAACCCTGCACATGTACTGCAGCGTTAAAAGAAGTAATAGATTGTAAATAGTATCTGCCAGTTATTATGGTGGCACTCTGGCCCAAGATGACACTCTTGCAGAAGTTATTGAAAAGTTGGGCATTGAATATAGTCAATGGAAGAAAATGATTTCCTGTTTTCTGTAGAGAAATTATACATTTGCCTTACTTGATGGCATATCATTTTTTTACTTCCATATCAAAAGGGTTGCATAAAACATTTCCTGTTTCCTGGAAGAGATAAGAAACAGGAACTGTTTAAAGCTGCTATTTTAAACCGGGAAGAAAAGCTACTGGATTACTAATTAAAAGTTTGTTTAATTTTAGTCTTAAAAATAGTTTTTTTAGTTTTTACGGGACTTGAGGCTAATTTTTTAAACAGTAGGGCAAAAGGAAAGGGGGAGAGACATGCGGCAAATGAGCAAAGGTCAGATTCAAACCTGGGTTGGCCTCGTGGAGGACTAATGCCTTCGTACAGTACATGGGTTGTGTGCGCTAAGCACTGCTCCACCTGCACGCCCAAAATAATCTAAAATGTAAAAGACTTTAGTTACTTTCACTTTAATTTGGATTTTATTTCCCTGTTGAATTAATGTACTGAAATTAAAGGTCAGATGGTGTCCAATTATACTGTTGCACTTAAAAAGACACTTTATTTCAAGTCCTCTAATTTAAATAGAGGTTTCTGTTCAGTTTCTTTGTAAGCACTTTTTAGTTTTCATTTCAAAGCTCACTTAGGGCCACCACAGCAACATAATGTTACGTTTAATTATTTTATTCTCTTGCTCATGTTTTAGTATTTTTCCCTATTGAATAAAAAAGAATTCAAATTGACAGCATGTTTGCCAAACACTTTCCTGAAAGAGCGGGTACCTTAACATTGATCAGAGTAGAAAGATGAGAGACACTCAAATATCGAGTGGCTTAGTAAACTTGTTCCAGAGCACAAAACACGGAGTGAGCATACTGATTAGGCTTTGTTTTCGTTGTCAGGCCTTGTTATGAATAATTCTGAGAGATTCAGAAGACAGATCCGATGCCATCTGAAACGGCTGCGTTATTTGGAAAGACCCCACTGACACCTGGAATATTTTTCTGTTTCTCTCATTTGCAGATGTGATGAGCACAGAGAGGGCTATCTCCCTGTGTAACATGGCAGCACTGGATTCAAAGACGTTTTAAAGAGGGCAACAATCTTCAACACTGTAAAAAGGGAGGTGGAGTCAGAACCAAGGCTCTCCAAGGGCTACTAAATAAGAGTTGAAGCTTTACCTCGCCTGCAGCGCTTTGTTTGTCCAGGCTGCTAATCTCTGTGTGCAGAGCGTGCCTCTTTGCTTCTGTTAGATGCAAAATGTAATTACTTTTTTTTCTTCTGCACTGCATGAACAATGTTCAAGTATCGATGAAGAACAAGGACAGCTGGTATTAGAATAAAGTGCAATGGCTGAGGTTTAAATATACTTTGTGAACCTATTCTGAAATAAAACCAGATTTAAAAAAGGGTTTTAAAAATAAAAGCACAGTTATTTTGTAGTTTTGTACAATGTATATTTTATTAGCATTGTTGTTGCACAAAGTATGATGCATAGAAGCAAAGCAACTGAAAGCATGCAAAAATACTTACAGTAAAGTAAAAACTACTACAATACGGTGCATTTTATGAATTTGTCACTTTAATCCTAGTATTTTACTAAGTGGTTGTTGAGGCTTTTTTCTCTGTTTTTCAATTGCTGCATGTTATTCTATATGTGCACACAGATTTTTTTTCTTTGAACTAATGCAAAGAATAACTAAGAAGTGCTTTCCGTCACATTTCACACACAACAAATTTAAATAAACGTTTATTCTTAGAATTCCTCCTCTTCTCATTTCTGCCTGTGTGCACTTTCAATCTTGGTCTTACAAAGATAATTTGAATAAATAAGCCCTTTTTCCTTTGAAAGTTTTAACGTTAAACCCAGTAAAATAGTATAAAAGGAGGCAGCACTGAATGTGTCTCCTGCTTCTAAATACAATCAAATGCCCTGAAATACAAAAAAAAACAAAACAGAAAGGTGTCGGTATCCAAGCTGGAATTAGGCCCAAGTTCCCAGCATGGCACAGACTGGTACGGAAAATTTGCCAGGCGCTTCAGGTTCCAAAATTGATTCAAAGCCACCACAATGGGGTTATTGACAAAACCCACACATGCAGTAGATGATCCTTTGATGGCATTAAAAGGGAACATTTTACCTCAGCCTGTTGAAGCTTTCATGAAGCAGCTTCTGTTTTTACTATCAATAAAAATCCTTTTTGAACTTTTCTGCCAGAAATGTCACAATCAATGGGTATAACCCCCTGACTTTTCCATCATTCATATAACCTTTCCTCATGGTGTCAGAGAGCAAAATTAATGCTCAGCTTTAACATAATACCTCAGGTGTTTTTAATACCCGGCAGAATGACAAAACACCCAGGAATAGGAAGGACACGTCATGCACACAAGGCCACTTCCACTGATGCCAACCTGCTGCAGGGGCTCATGCTTGAAATGTGATTAAAAAAGCTATTCTGGCTGGTCAGTTATTTACGTAATGCCATCTTAATTCATCAGAATCTGCAGGGAGGAAGCTTATTTTACTTTACTTATGTAACTTAATTTACTGAAATTTGTGATCAAAATAAAAACATTAGCTCTAATGAGCTTAGTTGTACATAAAAAAAGTAAAACAAGAGAAATATACTGCAGCTCTAGTCAAAATGTTTAGAAGGCAAATATAACTGAATATGTAGACTGCCAGTAGAAAGAAAGGATCAGGTCTAACCTGTTAGACCCCTTTTCACTTTTAAGCCTTTGACAGTAGGTTAATTATAGGGTGGTTGCATAATTAGATAAACAATTATTATTTTTTTTATATCTTGCATAGAGCAAAGAGATTTAACCTTTAAAAAACGTATTATGTATAAACATATGTTTCTGTACTCTCAAAGAGTATGGAAAGGGTAAATAAGGGTTAAAAAAAATCTGTAAAATGTTACCCAAAAACAAAGCTTCATTCTATAAGCCGTATTTGAGTTAAACAGGAAACTGACCTGTACTGTGCACCTTGAATTGTTTGTCAAAATAAAGCACAATGACGCAAATTAACAAAGTTATTTTTAGGACTTAAATTAATACAATCCTCAGCTTGTGTTTCCTAATTCTGAAAAATACAAAGCACAACCACTCCTGAAATGGCTTCACTGAATAAATAGGGTCTCACTGCACCGGAAGAGTTTGCCCACCTTTATATGAGAAATCATGCAATGATGATGTACAGCCCACCCCTACTTGTTTAAATTACTGACAGACTGAATAATTTCACAACACGGAAGACATCTGATATTATGAAAAAAGTGTTTGTGAAAATACTGTAGGTGGACAAAATAAAAAAATTATCCACCTGAAATGCAAACAGTTAGGTCAGATGGGGTGGGGGTCTTTATCTCACAAGAGATAAAGAATTTTAGATTTACTAGGTGAAATTACAAAGATATTATCCATACACCTTTACTTATAATATACATACAGGTAATGATTGGCTATCTTTATAAACGTATGGGAAAATACGTATATGAAATGTTATCATCTTAAACATTTTTTACTAAGATGTATGTTATCTGTGAATGAATCAATTTAAGGGATGCATTATTTCTCTGTCTCATACAATGTGCAGCATTATTTTTTGATTTAGAAACACCCATTTCAACATATTCCCTCCAGTGAGAACTAGGTCTGCTCCTGACCCTTTGAAGCAATACCTTGTCATATCTGACAATACCAGATTTTTTTAGTTTGTTGAGATAACAAACAGGTAAAGTATTTTCATATATCTCCATAGTCGCTTCCTTAACACGGTATGTTTACAGCTGAAAAGGTAAAAACTATGACTTGACACAACAACTGGGCCCATCTAGTGAAATTGCTGTTTTCCTCTTCATATTTACGAAAATATGCAGCATATAAATGCAAAACAATTGTGAAAACAAAGGAGGCCTTCAGATACTCCCGCATCTCTCAATCAAGTGACACAAAAGATGAACTGTCCATATATTTTTATGAGCATCCAGCCAATTAAAGATGCTAGCATTTATTTGACAAATTCAGAACCTCACACATTGACTGCATAATAACACAATAAATAGATAAAACAGATTTTTTTTTTTTCCCAACCAGATATGAAGTAATCTGTTTGCTCTTTGTTTTTTCTTGTTAAAGAGAGTTCAGTTTTGCTCACATTTATTTGGTGAACTGGAGAAGCATTTTCAACAAATCATTTTTGGATTTATATTGATTGCAAAAGAAGCAGCTATATAAGAGATTAAAATCCCTGCCCCTAATCAAGCTCTGGATTTATACAAAATCCAACTTAAAGATGGAGAATAAGAATTTGAATAAATAAACAAAGAAGCCAACCTAAGTCATTAATATTTTGTAGATATAAAGCGAGACAGTTAGCTGAAGTTGAGCCATTCAAACACAGCGGATGTTTTTATACTTTAGTGTTTTTGTAAAACATTCTACCTCACAGCAATAACCTGTCGGGTAGCTTCTGAGGTAAAAAGAAAAAAAAGAAAAAGCAATGATTCTGCTCCTAGAAACAATTTGCATTTCAAAGACAATGATTTCATTACATGTCTTGTTCCAACCCAAGGAACCAAACAATGGAAGTTTGACAAACATCCTCTCTCCCGAAAGAGAGGTGAAAGGGCTTATAGTGACAGACGTGAGCAAAAAATAGATTTTAGCTGGTAGACATCAATCATTTATCAAGCTAACCTTCAGACAGAAAGCGTACAAAGGTGTTGGAATCCTGTATAGCATACATTCCCACCTGTCTTGTCTTTTTTTCACTAGGTTGTTATCTTTGTTCATTTTCTTCAAATATGTTTTATTTGTGTTGTTTGCAGATTTGAATTAGTCACCATGATTAAACTTTTGTGTCTTTAGTGCAGAACGTGGAACAGAACAACACAAAACCTTTCAAACTACCACTTATTACATAAAGATAAACTTGAATGACAGGAAGTGGCATAAATAATTTAATCACATCTTACCTGCGGTAAATACATAACTGCCTTTCACTCTTTGTTTGATACAAATCCAGATATGTGGGTTCAAGAGGCTGGATCGTAGTCCAAACCAGAATTAAACTTGTTTTCCTTTAAAAGAAAATTTCGTAGCCTTCATGTAAACAATATTTTATCAGATATGCTATACAGTGGGGCCAAAAAGTATTTAGTCAGCCACTGATTGTGCAGGTTCTCCTTCTCAGAATAATAAGGTCTGTAATTTTCTTTGTATGTAAACTTCAACTATGAGAGACAAAATGAAAAAAAAAATCAGGAAATCACATTGTAGGATTTTTAATGAATTTATTTGAAAATTATGGTGGAAAATAAGTATTTGGTCCCCACAAACCAACAAAATTCCTGGCTCTCACAAACCTGTAACTTCTCTAAGAAGCTCTTCTGTCCCCCACTCATTACCTGTATTATTGGCACCTGTTTGAACCCATTATCTGTCTAAAAGACACCTGTCCATGGCCTCAAACAGTCACAAGAACCAGGAAGAAAATTGTAGACATGCACCAGGCTGGGAAAAGTGAATCTACAATAGGCAAGCAGCTTGGTGTGAAAAAAAATCAACTGTGCGAGCATTTGTAAGAAAAAGGAAGACAAACAGGACCATTGATAATCTCCCTCGATCTGGGGCTCCATGCAAGATCTCATCCTGTGTGGTCAAAAAAGATCATGAAGATCACCTGATGAATGACTTGCAGAGAGCTAGGAAACAAAGGCTACCATAAGTAACACACTATACCGAGAGGGACTAAAGTCCTGCAGTGCCAGACCTGTCCCCCTGCTCAAGCCAGTACATGTCCAGGCCCGCATGAGGTTTGCCAGAGAGCATATGGATGATCCAAAAGAGGATTGGAAGAATATCAGGTTGTCAGATGAAACCAAATAGAACTTTTTGGTAAAAACCCAACTGGTCATGTTGGGAGGAAGAAGAAGGCAGAGTTGCATCCCAAGAACACCATACCTACTGTGAAGCATGGGGGAGGAAACATTATGCTTTGGGGCTGTTTTTCTGCAAAGGGGACAGGAAAACTGATCGGTTTTGAGGGAAGAATGAATGGGGCCATTTATCGTGAGATCTTAAGCCAAAACCTCCTTCTATCAGTCAGAGCCTTGAAGAGGAAACGTGGCTGGATCTTCTAGCATGACAATGATCCCAAACACACCACCCGGGCAACAAAGGAGTGACTCCGTAAAAAGCCTTTCAAGGTCCTGGAGTGGCCTAGCCAGTCTCCAAATCCCAGCCCCATAGAAAGTGTGTGGAGGGAGTTGAAAGTCTGTGTTACCCAGCGACAGCCCCGAAACATCATTGCTCTAGAGGAGATCTGAATGGAGGAATGGGCCAAAATACCAGCTACAGTGTGTGCAAACCGGGTGAATACTTACAGGAAATGTTTGACCTCAGTGATTGCCAACAAAGGTTATGTTACCAAATACTGAGTTGAACTTTAGTTATTATCAAAATACTTATTTCCCTCCATAATTTAGAAATAAATTTACTAATTCCTTAAAAATCCTACAATGTGATTTCCTGGATTTTTTTTTCTCATTTTCTCTCATAGTTGAAGTGTACCAATGATGAAGATTACAGACCTCTCTCATTATTCTACAGTAAGTAGGAGAACTTGCACAATCAGTGGCTGACTAAATACATGTTGGCCCCACTGTAAAGCCAAAGACCAGCCTCTGTCAAATTCCAGTAGCAAATC